GCCCTCAGGTGATCTGCCCACCTTGGCCTCCCAAAGTGCTGGGATTACAGGCATGAGCCACTGCACCTGGCCCTTTTTTTTTTTTTTTTTTTTTTTGAGACAATGTCTCACTGCCCTCACTCTAGAGTGCAGCGGTGCAACCATGGCTCATTACAGCCTCAACCTCTCAGGCTCAAGCAATCTTCTACCTCAGCCTCCCAAGTAGCTGGGACTACAGGTGTATGCCATCACACCCAGCTAATTTTTCCTTTCTTTTTATTTTATTTTACTTTTTTTTTTTTTTTTTGAGATGGAGTTTCGGTCTTGTTACCCAGGCTGGAGTGCAATGGTGCGATCTTGGCTCACTGCAACCTCCGCCTCCTGGGTTCAGGCAATTCTCCTGCCTCAGCCTCCTGAGTAGCTGGGATTACAGGCACACACCACCATGCCCAGCTAATTTTTTGTATTTTTAGTAGAGACGGGGTTTCACCATGTTGACCAGGATGGTCTCGATCTCTTGACCTCGTGATCCACCCACCTCAGCCTCCCAAAGTGCTGGGATTACAGGCGTGAGCCACCGTGCCCAGCCTTACGTGTTTTTTTTTTTTGTTTTTTTGTTTTTAAAGATGGGGTTTCACCATGTTGGTCAGGCTGGTCTTCAACTCCCGCCCTCAGGTGATCCACCCGCCTTGGCCTCCAAAGTGCTTGGATTACAGGCATGAGCTACCACACCCAGCTTAATTTTTCTTTTCTTTTCTTTTTGTAGAGACAGGTTTTCCTCATGTTGCTCAGGCTGGTCTTAAACTCCCGGGCTCAAGTGAGCTTCTCACCTCAGCCTCCTAACGTGTTGGGATTACAGGTATGAGCCACTGAGTCAGACCTACTCAAGTCTTTTAAAAGTTCTGTTGAGGTTTCATGTAGGGAGCAGTTCTGCCTGGAGGCAGAGGTATGCTGGGAAAAAGAATCATCTGAAAACAGAGAGACCTTCGATGTGTTTCTCTACTCAGGCTCAGCCATGTGGCAGGCTGAAAAAGCAAAGGAGACTACTGTGGGGTAGAAACAGGAAAAGTCAGGGTTAGAGGAGACTCTGCCCACCTGTGTGGGCAAACCAGGAGTCAGGGCCAGTGGGCAAAATGGTTACTGGACCTCTAACCTATTAGATAGGTACAAGGAGATAGGTGGCACCACAGAGTCCCTCAGTTAAAGAGATAGGCAAGGCCTCAGGCAGATAGGAGAAGGACCCCATCCTCATGTCAGAGGAAACTGAGGCAGCCACTCTACACCTGGCCTGGGTACAGCAAGGGGGCAGGAGAAGACACATGTCACAGTAGGTGGGTGTCCAGGTTCCCCAGGCACACTGAGCCCACAGCTGAGCTACTAACTTCAGAGCCCACTGCTGCGGGGAAGGACTCCCAATTTCCAGCCAGGAGAGGACATCCTGGCCCAGACCTGTAGAGGAGAGTCTTCAGGACCTCACCTGGGTTGGGACAGTACCTGACGGAATTGTCTCCAGAGAGGATATATCCAGTATGCAGTTGATACATCCAGACTGACTCAGATCCCCTGACCCTATGCTGTCAGGCTCAGTACCAAACTCTGCCTTTCCAGGACTCTCCTGTCATGAGCTTCACTTTGTTGAAACTCTGGACAGAACAGCTCAGGATGCCAACATGCCAGGACAGAGGTCAGTCTGCTAAACGGTCGCACCCTCCTTGTCTCAGACTGCTGGGGCAGAAGCAGGGCACTAGAAACCTGTTGCAACTATCTACCTGAACTGGCTTCCTGCTCATACATACTGTTAGGAAGTGAGCCTGAATTGCAGGCACCTGCTGCTCACCACGTCCTCAGTATCACCTGGCCCAACTGCTGTCAGTGCAGGTATGCACATGTATCTACGTGTGGAGATAAGATGTGAGTGGATTCACACATTGTTGGATATGTGTGTATGTGTGTACAAATGGGGCTATAACACGTGTGTATGTTTGTGGGCAGCTGTGTGAATTTGTGTCTATGCACGTGGGCAAGGGGCTGTGGGTTGGCACACTCAGGTGGATTAGATAAAGGCAAAGATATGGACGTGCACATGAGCCTGAGTTAGAGTGTTGGCAGACTGAGTTAGACACATGCATGCCCAGGCTAACAGCTGACTCGAGAGTTGTCGCTTATCAATAGCTGGAGCAGCTGCCATAAATCCACCAGAGGAAGAGCTGTCAGAAGCTGACTTTAAGGTGACACTGTGTCGTACTGCACTGCAGGTACCATGGCAGGGAGGCCCCAGGAGACAGGGAGCTCACCACCCTTCAGGGGTGACGCGCGTTTGGAGGATGGGGTGACTGGTGGGCCTGAGGCTGCCCAGGCTCTGTAGGTAAGGGCCAAGTCCCATGTCTCATGGCAGATGAGCCCTTCCGAGCCTTGACAAACCAAGACCCTCCACACAGCAAAGTCAAGATCAGGGTCCATGGTGCGAAACACCATAAAGAACTGCTGTTTCCCCAGGTCCTTAGGAGATTTTTGAGGACAGGGTTGTATCTAGGGTGACTGCTAAATACCAGGTTACCCAAGGCTTTGCTGGTTTTAGCATTGAAAGTCCTGCATCGCTGGAAATCCTCAGTCCCAGGCAAACTCGAGCAGCTGGTCACATTAGCAGATCTGAACCCGATACAATGGAAGGAAGTAGCGGGAGTTGGAGTGGGGGGTGTGGAGGGTCTTTCTCAGAAAAAGAATAGAAGTCAGATGTAATGGTGCTGCCTGTATTCCTAGCTACTCAGGAGGCTGAGGCAGCAGAGTCTTTTGATCCCAGGAATTCAGGGCCAGCCTGGGCAACATAATAACACCCTGTCTCTAAAAAGAAGAAGAAAATACAAAGTAAAATGCAAAACTGGGGCTCTGGAAGGAATGTGTAATGTGTGAGAGACCCAGAAGCTGAAGCTTCAGTAGCTTCAAGATCATCTACTTCTGCCATGAAAAGGGTTTGAATAGGCCAGGTGCAGTGGCTCATGCCTGTAATCCCAGCACTTTGGGAGGTTGAGGTGGGTGGATCACCTGAGGTCAGGAGTTTGAGACCAGCCTCGCCAACATGGTGAAATCCCGTCTCTATTAAAAAAAAAAATACCAAAATTTGCTGAGCGTGGTGGTGCACACCTGCAATGCCAGCTACCTTGGGAGGCTGAGGCAGGATAATCACTTGAACCTGGGAGGTGGAGGTTGCAGTGAGCCGAGATCACAGATCACATCATTGCACTCCAGCCTGGTGACTGAGTGAACCTCCAACTCAAAAAAAAAGAGTTTGAACCTTGATTGGAGTCGGCCCAAGTTGTATGTGAATCCAAGCTCTGCTCCTCAAAGGCAATAAGTCACTTGCTTAGGCTGACACAGCCAATGAGGACATCTCCTTCCTGTGTAAAGCAGAGACAATCACACTGGGAGAGAGGTGCAGGTCAAATAAGATAATAAGGGTGAATATGCATCAGCGCACATCCAACACAATCCAACACATGGCAAGCATCCTGCTCTTTCCCCTTCCCTCTCCAGTGCATGGCTGTTGACTGAGGGAACTGAGGAGAGAGAAATCAACCGCCCTAGAACCTCTTGGTGAGGAGCAGGGCTAACAAGACCCAGGGAGAGCTGGCTCTTCTCAGCACACCAAGACAAATGCTCCAGTAAACCTTGGCTCTGCCTCAGTCTCCGCATCCCTATATGGTACTTGCAGAATGCTTACCTTAGCTTTGTCTCAGCATTTTGCGAAGCAGAGATTCAGAAATGTCTGTGCGATTTAAAGCGTGTCTTTTCAGCAAAAGAGCCTGAGGAAACTCAACAAGAAGGGTTTTGGCCAGTTAGTCCTGAAAACTGCTGCACATTGTAAGACCACTGATTCATCTTCTCTGCAAACCCTTGACCCTTGTTCACAGTAGATCAGGGAGGGCTAGACCAGGGGATTGGGGGATGCTGTGTTCCCTCAAAGGGATGGGCTGCGGGGAAATGCTGAGACCTCAGCTGTGAGGACCTCTCCTGGGAGCACACAGAGGGATATTCTCTATCTGTGTGCACATCTGCCCAAAGACATCCTGGGAAGTGACCTGGCTTGGGCTTGAAGTGACCACCCTGTGCCCCCCATAAGTAGCCTGACCAGGAGAAGGAGGACAGGCTGCATTTCCAAGCACGCTCCAGTGTCAAAATGGGAGAATGAGGTCTGGCCCAGGGAGCTTTACCAGCAACCAAAAAGGTTCTTGTGCTTACCTGTGTCTCCAAGTTACCAGCATCCAGGACCCCAATAGCAGTGCCTTGCTTTGTGTAAATATCCTCTAGAGATGAGAGCTCATGCTTCCCGGGCCATTCAGATCTATGTTGGCCAGCTCTGTGCAAGTCTGTCCTGAGAGGGGGCTTAACTCTGCCTTCAAGCCCTTCACTCTTCCTTGGAAGGTTTGAAAAGTGGGTCAGCCTCCATCATGGTCCCAGACTGGGCACTGACTGGGGATGGGGAGCAGAACTGCCTCTCACCCTGGTGGAGACTTGAGGGTCCTTCCTGCTGCCCACCACACAGATCAGACCCTTTGGGAGAGTTGGTCCGTCTTCGGGGCCAGGGCAGGAATGGGTTGAGATCACAGAGAGGGAGTCCTGTTAACCCCTCACCATCTGCTGCCCACCCATCACCCTTTTTCTTAGCTTCTGGTCTCACGTGGCACACGGAACCTGCTTAGACTGCTAAAGCAAGGCCCTCCGGCCGCTCCGCTAACTTTTCTTCAGGAACGCTTAGCTCAGAGAGGACGGCTAAGCCACTGAAAGTCACAGAGGAAGTTCTTGAGGAAAAAAAACTCCTGCTAAGGCCGAGCCCCACCAGGACTTAGGGACCCTGGGAAAGCCCAATTTTCCAGCGCCCTGCTCAAGACCACTTGGGGGAAAGACACGCCACTCTTCAACCGTGTCCTGTCGGGGACCCGGGCCGCCGAGCAAAGGGGGCGTGGTGGGCGGGGAGTCCTCTGGTCACGCCTCCCTGCCCCCGCCCGCGGCTGGGAGCTGGTCCCTCCGCTCTCCGCAGCTAATTGGTCTCGTCAGGGAAGGAGCGGATCCGAGCCGTGTCATCCTCTTAGCGCCCTCGCGCCACCCGCCGCTCCCGCCCCGCGCCTCCTCCCGCCGCCGCTACCCCCATTGTCTCTGCACTCCCCGCGGGCCCAGGGCATGCTCCGCGCCCCTGCGCTGGGCCTCGGCGGCGGCAGGCGACGCTCCGCGCCGGAGGAGACATGAGGCGCGGCTGGTGGGCCGCCCTGGCCCTGGGGCTGCTGCGCCTCTGCCTGGGTGAGTGGCCGCAGGGCCCCGCCGGCTGCGTGGAAGGCGAAGGGGGTGGGCGCGGGCGCCGGCGCCACCCAGGTGGCCACAGCGACATGGTCCTGGACCACTTCCAGAGTGGGACTCGGGCTGGTGGACGGGAGCAGGGAAGTCCTTCCATCAGCCTGGCACATTCGGTAGTGGGTAGTGGGGTAGCGGAGGAGTGGGGCGCCCCGGGGCGCTTCTCCAGAGCTGGCGTCCTAGAGCCCCGGGGTTTGTTGTCCGGACCCTCGCAGCTCTGCACTCAGAAGCAGAGCTGGAGGCTTGGTGGCAGCCCCGATGCTGCGTGGGGCAGGGGATAGTGCCCTGGCACGCGGCATGACCTTGGCTGGGGCACTACCCATCTCTGAGCGCAGGTGCAATCTGCCCATTGATGAAGGCGGGGTTGGGTGCTACCTGAGTTCTCAGCGCCCACATGCTACGTGTCCCTGACAAGCCCGAGCCCACCGGAGGTGGAGTGGGGAGTGAGGGGCATCCTTTGGGCGGCGCCCCATCCTCAGTGCACTGAGGTTGGGGAGACGGAGCGCCCTCCTGCCCAGGAGCTGGGCCTGGCGCGGGACCGCGCTGGTGCGAAGCTCCCTCCTGGTGTCTGGGTGTCCGTCTGTTCTGTGTTCTTCTCCCAGTCCAGGCCAACTTCGCCCCGCACTTCTTCGACAATGGGGTCGGCAGCACCAACGGAAACATGGCTCTGTTCAGCCTCTCAGAGGACACCCCAGTAGGTGAGTAGCCCTGACACTGGCTCCCGACAGGTCTCCCTGAGGGGTGGCTTTCGTTCCCCTGGACTCAGGGACCAAGCCTGTGATTCACCTGAGCCTGTATACGCGGCCAGCGCCAAGTTGCCGGGTGCGCCCGGGGGCTCCCCGTTTGCTCTCCGAATTCCTCTGGGGAATGGCAGGAAAGAAGGTCATCGCTGCCATGGCGACTTAAGCCTGGCCAGTCCTGGAGACCAGGGCTCCCGCCCAGAGACAGGGTGGCCCCTTGAGGCAGGCAGCTGTAGGAAGCAGGCGGTAAGGTGCTGCCGATTATGGCTGTGTGACCCTGAGCAAATGTATTCACCTCCCTGAGCCCCAGGTATCTAGGCTTTAAAACAGCCTAAAAACATCCAGCTTGCTGAGATATGCAGAGAGAGGGGAGGAGAAAGGAGAGATTTCACACTCCCTTTCCCTTACTCTGTGGGCATTGGGATCTCTGGGAAAGGGGAGCGGAGAAAATAGGCACCCGGTTTAGAAATCCCTGCAGAACCCGGTCCGGGCATCAGGGACAATGCTGCACTGGGGGTCACCCCTCCTGCCTTAATGGCTGCTCCCATTTCCCCTTCCCTATACCCAGGAGCCCCTCAATCTTGGATCCTGAGAAAGGAGTTATTACCAGGCCGAGCAGGACACAGGCACTAGTTAGGCACAGAAGACCTGCACCTGCTCTGTAACAGGTGTTAGAGATTACAGTCTGGAAAGTGACTGATCATCACATCTAACTGCTGTGAAGAATAAAAATAGAAAGTGAGAAGCAGCCAGCAGGGATGAGGCCAGCAGTGAGAGCCCAGTTCAGGGCGGTACCTTTGGCACTGAGTTGAATAGTCACTTTATAAGCAGCTGAATCCTTGGTCCTGAGCAGCTGCCACTTTTGGGAAAAGTTGGGTCTCAGATTCTGTGTCTCTCCACTGTGTCTCCTTCCAGGCTCTCACGTATACACCCTGAATGGGACAGACCCTGAGGGAGACCCCATCTCCTACCACATCAGCTTTGACCCCAGCACTAGAAGTGTCTTTTCTGTTGACCCCACTTTTGGAAACATCACCCTGGTTGAAGAACTGGACAGAGAGGTATAGGGAGGTGTGGGGAGGCCTTGAGGGGTGTCAGCCCACTGAGACATACCTTGGCGGGCTGAAGTTCCCCTAGAGCACGTTGGTTAGAACCTCTCTGCAGAGTAGGGATGAGGGGCACACCTGGGCACATCACTCTGTGAGATCTCTGGGCCACTTCCCATCAGCACAGCGGGCTTTACTCTCATGCTCCTCATTCACACAGACAGAACAGTGGGCTCCTTTGATGAGCACCTGCCAGCCCTGCTCATCTTTTAAGCATGTTCCATTAAAAATAAATCTGTTTGCACTTTGAGGTTTCTGAAAGAAATCTCACAAAGTGATTTTTCAAGCCTGTCCTTGGAAAGGTGCTATGAACCACAGGAACTCAGAGCAGGTCAGGGCTGGAAAGGCTGGTTGGGAGTGAGTCTGAGTTTATAGGGCTCCTCCACTCTACCCTCTTGGGAACCTGCAGGTGACAAGGTATGGGATTTTGCAGATTGCACACCAACCTGGTATATGACTAACTGGACCTCAGCTGCGGGGATGCTGCCAGCTCTGGTGACCGCATCCACTAGCTGCAGGACAGGGTAGAGAAAGGAAAGGGAGGTCTCAGGGACTGCTGGGGGACACAGCAGGGGAGCCCGACTGTGCTGCCAGTACCCACTCCCTGGCACCCACGGGATCTGGCGACCTCCAATACTCCTCCCCATTGAGGTCTCACCGTATCCTGGGGAGCACTGAGATACCATGGATGTGAGCCTCTGCAGAGCCCTGGATTATGGAGAGGTGTGGAGAGAGAAGGGGAGAAAAAGGAAAAGAAAGAGGAAAAGTCTTCATGACACCTTGAGCACACAAAGGTCGGCGTCTCTCATCACTGTGGCAGGAGAATATTTTCTGTTGGAGCCCCAGCCTCTGGGTCTCTGGGTTTGTAAGAACCCCGGAGACAAAAGTCCCTAAACAAGGTCTCTAGCATGGGGGGGAGGCAGCTTTCTACTCTGCCAGGCATGCTGCAGCCACCACCCACCCTGCTCCAGGGATCTGTTGGCACGCCCAGGCCTCCTCTGATGAGTTTGTGGGGCAGGGAGAGCTCCACCCAGCCATGAGGGTCCCATGGAGTGTCAGACTCCTGTTCACTCACTCAGTCCCTTTGCTTCACAGCGGGAGGATGAGATTGAAGCCATCATCAGCATTTCTGACGGCCTGAATCTGGTGAGTGCAAGCCCAAGGCAGTCTCTGGCAGTCTGCAGTATTTGCGACTGAGAAGGGGGAGGCTGGCATGATTCCTCCTCCAGCCTTCATGGGGCTTTTCTGTAAGTTTAAGCCAGGGCCCAGCAAGACCTGCCCAAAGTGCCCACAGGAGAGGGCTGCAGCAAGGCCAGAGGGGAAGGAGGGAAAAGAAGGAATGGAGAGATCAGGCAGTCTGAGTTGAGCTTCTAATGGGTCTAACCCACATTCCACAACATCTCCTGAAACTTGCCCTCCCCATCTGCCTCTTCCACCTGGGTCTTGGCCTCCTGCTCAGTCACCTGAGCTGAACACCTGGGCACCCCACAGCAACTACTTTCTCTCAGCACTCATCAGTGCTCCCTGGATGACCTAACAAACACCAGGGGCTCACTGGCCTCCAGGCTCCCCCACCCCAATTGCCTCTGAAGTTGTCACTATGGGCCAGTCAGATCTGCCCACTCTGAGGCTCAGAAAGTGCTAACAGCTGGCCTCTGCCACTGGCAGGATGAAAACCAAGCTTCAGTCTGGTGTTCCAGGCCTCCCCGTTGGGCACCATCTGCCTTGCTGCCTTTTCTCCCACATCCACCCCACCCAGGCCATAATCTAGACATAAATCTACTTCCGTCCTCTCAGCTCACCATGCATGTCACGCCTTTTTGCCTTTGCACAACGCAGCCTCTTCATCCTGGCACACCTTTCTGCCTCTTTCCTCCTGGCAGACCTCCCTCAGGGATTAATTGTCACTCCTCTGAGAAGCCTCCCTGCTCTCTGCCACCACAGCCCAGGCACTCCCAACCCTAACGGATGCATTTACACGGGCCATGTGTGTGCGCTGGTGCAGTGTAGGGCTCCGTCCCCAGTGCCTGACATACTGCTGCTATCACCTTGAGGAGATACAACTTGTTTTTGTTTGTTTGTTTTGAGATGGAGTTTCGCTCTTGTTACCCAGGCTGGAGTGCAATGGCACAATCTCGGCTCACTGCAACCTCCGCCTCCTAGGTTCAAGTGATTCTCCTGCCTCAGCTTCCCAAGTAGCTGGGACTATAGGCACATGCCACCATGCCCAGCTAGTTTTTGTATTTTTAGTAGAGACGGGGTTTCACCATGTTGACCAGGATGGTCTCAATCTCTTGACCTCGTGATCCACCCGCCTCGGCCTCCCAAAGCGCTGGGATTATAGGCTTAAGCCACCACACCTAGCCTACAACATGTTTTTAAATATGATGATCTTTGCCCTGATATCCCCACCAGGATGAAACACAGTGCTTGGCACTAAGAGGCTGCTTAATGTTTGTTGAATGAATGAGTAAAAGAAGGAAGGGAGGGAGAGAGAGAGGAGGGACGGGAAGAGCGTCAGAGGTTGCTACCCATTCATTCCTCAGAAGGTCTCATTGCACTGGCTCTTGATCCCTCTGCCCCTTCTCAGGTGACTGAAAAAGTTGTGATCCTGGTGACTGATGCCAATGACGAGGCACCCAGGTTCATTCAGGAGCCTTATATTGTCCTGGTTCCCGAGGTGAGTGAGGAGCCACTGGAGGGGCCAAATGTCCCACCCAGGCCCATAGCTTACCCCTGGTGCTGCCCTGTGGCCTCACCATGGCTCACCGCCCTGTGGAGAGCCTCTCTGTCACCACCTGCTCCCTCTCACATTCGCTTTTATTCCAAAGGAATATTCATTTGCTTTTTTCCATTGTAGTCATAATATATGTTTAGAGTAGAATTGTGAAATACATAGAAAAGTGAGGAAAACGAGTTTTCAAAATCACCCTCACTCCCTCCAACTTGAGACATTGTTAAACTTTGGTGTATTTCCTTCTAGTCTTCTTGTCATTATAGAGTTTTTTTTTTCTGTTTGTTTGGCAAAGTTGTGATTATACTAAACATGTGCTTTCAGTATCCTATTTGCACTTAAGTTATAACATACACATTTTCCTCATTAATTGTAAAGTTTGGGTAACTATCGTTATAATAGCTTTCATCAAGTGAACAGTCTATCATTTACAGAATCATTGCCTGATGTTTGGCTATTTAAGGTGCTTTAAATTTTGCTGTCATGAGACACATCAACTTCTGAGCATCCATTTGTTTTCTGTTAATTCGGATTCTTTCCTTAAGATACAGTTTAGGATTCAAATACTGTATCAAAATCACATATGCCCACGGGGTGTTGCCAGATTGCTTTTCCAGAAGGCACCTGTGTGCTCCCTCCCCACAACCGGAGGGTTTTTCTCCCTTGCCCCTTAACAACACTGGATTTTCAAAGTTTAAAATGTTTGCTAATTCAGGCCAGGTGTGGTGGCTCACACCTATAATCCCAGCACGTTAGGAGGCCAAGACGGATGGATGACCTGAGGTCAGGAGTTTGAGACCAGCCTGACCAACATGGTGAAACCCCATTTCTACTAAAAATACAAAATTAGCCTGGCATAGTGGTGGGCACCTGTAATCCCACTTACTCAGGAGGCTGAGGCAGGAGAACCACTTGAACCCGGGAGGCAGAGGTTGCAGTGAGCTGAAATCATGACATCGCACTCCAAACTGGGTAACAAAAGTGAAACTCCATCTCAAAAAAAAAGTTTGCTAATTCTTTTTTTTTTTTTTAAGATGGGGTTTCACCATGATGGCCAGGCTGGTCTTGAACTCCTGACCTCAGGTTATCCACCCACCTCGGCCTCCCAAAGTTCTAGAATTACAGGCGTGAGCCACTGCGCCTGGCCAAAAGTTTGCTAATTCAATAGGAGAAAGATGTCTCATTCTTGCTCTAAAATGTAGGCATATGGTCCCCGGTGACCCTAAATATGTCTGTGGTTATGAATCATTTCCTCCTTTATGGATTGCTATTTCATAGGTAGACCCTTTATCTGTTTAGGGGCTTGGTTTTTTCCTTCTCCCTCTCTCCTTGAGCACCTCCCCCAGCCCCTCACTACGTCTTTTTGCTCCAATTTCCCTTTCCCTCTTTCCTGCACCCCCCTCTGAGCCACTGTCCCTGTTGGGTGCTCACACACTTTATCCTTACCTGTCCACCTCTTTTTGGTGCTTCACTCCCCTGACCCCACTGCTGCATGCCCCTATTGCCTCTGTTCCCCTGAGAACACTGTCAGTGTGTCTGATCCTCCCCTGTGGCTGTGATCCCTTCAGGACATACCTGCTGGGAGCAGCATCTTTAAGGTCCATGCGGTGGACAGGGACACAGGCTCTGGAGGGAGTGTCACCTACTTCCTGCAGGTAAGGTGGGACCTACAATCCTGTAGGTAACCTGGGGCTGGGCCAGAGGGGACACCTGGGCAGCCCCTACCTCCATCACCCAGGCCCTTAGGTTGGTGCCTCTGTGATTCCCAAGGAGTCCACGAAGGATTGGGATGGGCAGGAGGGGGTGTGAGAGGGACAGAAGCCTTCTTCCCCTGATGGGCCAATCCTGGCTTCCTCTAAATCAGCCTGTCCCCTCCCTCTTTCCATGTCCCAGGACCCTCAGCCCTCCACATCCGCAGCCCTTTCCGCAGGGGCTGCCACATGGGTGGAGAACCCTGTGTAGGCCCAGAATGGTCAATAGAAAAAAGAGCAGAAGGGGCAACACTTAAAAGAAGCAGAGCTCTGATGCCCCTAACAACATAGGCTCAGAAGTCCCCTGGACTGCATGAGTGCTGGAGAGACCCCACCCCTCACCACCCTTCACATGACCTTCAGCGTGTTATCTAACTTTCCCAGCTGATTTTCCTCATGTATCACATGGGAGAGAGAAAAACACATCCTTGTTGCTTTTTTGTGAAGATTACATACGTGTAAAGCCCCAAAAACAGCACCTGGCACTAGCGCCTGACCCTACCCAGACAGAAGGGCCCCCGGGACCGCACCGGAGGCCAGTGCTCCCTGCCAGCCTCCTTCAGGCTGCACACCCTCTCCCCCGACGCCAGGCTGCCTGGGACTGGCCCGCAGTCACTTGTTTGTTGTAGGGTTTGAAGGTCCCAACGTTTCCCTCCTTCACTGTGACTCTTAAGCCCTGGCCGCCTCCAGGTTAGATTACTCTGCAGACATTGCCACCTGCTGGACCCTCCAGTCCAGAGCTTAGCCCAAAGCGGAGGCTAAGAAAACTGGTTTTCCAGTTGAGCAGGAAGAAAAGCAAAGGCCCAGAAGGGAACATTGTGTTTTTGCCTGAGAGTGTGGGAGGGCAAGCCCCCAGTCCTATGACGGAGAACCTGGGAAAAGCTGAGTGCTCTGAAGCAGGAACCTCAGCCCTAAGGTCCTGTGACGAGGGGCAGTGAGGACTCCCTTCAGAAACCAGAGCGGGCATTCCCAGGGCTGGCCTGGGTTCTTTTGAGGTCCAGCTTCCTCCTAATTCTTATAGAACCTACACTCCCCATTTGCTGTGGACCGCCACAGCGGTGTGCTGCGCCTCCAGTCTGGGGCTACTCTGGACTACGAGAGGTCCCGGACCCACTACATCACTGTGGTCGCCAAGGTAACACAGTGGGACAGGGGAGCATCTAGTCTCTCCTCAGTCCTTGGGTTGGAACCGAGTAGGCTCTACAGGGGAGTGGGAGCAGTTTGGAGAGCAGGAGACATGGTGGGTGTAGGGAGATAGGGCGCAGCTGCTTGGAATATTTTCTGCCTGGATATATTCTCCAGGAAGGCTGGGCTCTGTGGGCTCACAGAGGGCATATGCCTCCTCGAAACAGATGGGCCAGGATCCCCTAGGTAGGACCAGGTGGGATGGCCAAGAGAATGGCGTCCCCTCACATCTTCAACAGCGTGGCCTCCGGGCACCTCCATCTCGCTGGCCAGGCTTGCTCACCTACCTCCTCCTCTCTGTGTGACCAGGCACCCCTTCTGAGCCTCAGTTTCCTCATCTGCCCCCCCCCAAACTCAACTAAAGTTCCCATATTTATGAAATGCATGGTGTGGGAAACACTGGAAGCCAGCAGGTACCCACAGAAGCTTCTTCCCCCACAAAGAGTGCAAAACCCCAGCTGTCCCTCTAGGCCCAGCACTATCTTTTGCAGGCAGGCCCTTGCTGGTCACTGTCTACGGGCCATCCCACTGCAGCCTGTACCAGGAGGCCCAAGTCAGCCTCACCTGCCCATAGCTGCACGGGCTGGGCTGGGTGCACATCTCCACTATGATGCTTGGTGTGGGGCCCAAGTCTTGGCTGTTGTGGGCCCCCGGCACTCAGCACAGGCCATACACAGAGTAGGTAGGTCCTCAGGAGGTGCCTGAGGCTTGGTTCCTGGCTGGCAGGGGGAACTTAGCTCTGCAGGCCTTTCTTCTGCCACCCATCTGCTATTTCTCTGGAGAGAGAACTAACCCCACTTGCAAAGGAATGGTGGCATTTTAATGTTCCCAGCACCCCTGTGAGAGGAGAAGTCTCTCCAGGTGACACAGGAGCAAACAGAAACTTGGAGAGGACAGCTGACCTCACAGCCATAAGTTGGCAGAAGCCAGGTTCTCATGGGTTCTGTTCAATTCCACATCCCAACTTGCCTTCATGCTCCTTCTGTGGCCCCCGATTCTTCCACAGGATGGCGGTGGGAGGCTTCACGGGGCTGACGTGGTGTTCTCAGCCACCACCACGGTCACGGTCAACGTGGAGGATGTTCAGGACATGGCCCCTGTCTTCGTGGGCACACCCTACTATGGCTATGTGTATGAGGACACCCTTCCGGTGGGTGGCTGTGCCCCTCAGCCAGCATCCCTTCCAGATGCCTCCTGCCCTGACCCTTGTGATTTTCGGGACCCCCTGCTGGAGATGACTGGGATGGCCTTGGTCACTCTCCTCACACAGAGGCCAGCTCTGTGGGCTCACCCAGCCTCAGGCCATGAACTGGCCCTTTTTCCCCCATCTAGACCATGAGCTCCCACTGGGCAGAGACAGGCTGGAGCCAGGCCTCACTAGGCCACAGCTTAAGAACTCTGTGCAATTGAATTGCATTCTTAATTTGCACTTGTCTGATTATTCTGGACTTCTTTTTTTTTTTTTTTTTTTTGAGACGGAGTCTCACTCTGTCATTCAGGCTGGAGTACAGTGGCGCCATCTGGGCTCACTGCAACCTCTGCCTCCTGTGTTCAAGCAATTCTCCTGCCTCAGCTTCCCGAGTAGTTGGGACTACTGGTGCGCACCGCCATGCCCAGCTAATTTTTTGGTTTTGTTTGCTTGTTTGTTTTTGTTTTTGAGATGGAGTCACGCTCTGTCGCTCAGGCTAAAGTGCAGTGGCGCGATCTCAGCTCACTGCAACCTCTGCCTCCTGGGTTCAAGCGATGCTCCTGCCTCAGCCTCCTGAGTAGCTGGGACTACAGGTGGCGTGCCATCATGCCTGGCTAATTTTTATAGTTTTAGTAGAGACGGGGTTTCACCATGTTGGGCAGCCAGAATGATCTTGATCTCCCGACCTCGTGATCCACCCGCATTGCCTGTCAAAGTGCTGGGGTTACAGGCGTGAGCCACTGCACCTGGCCAATTTTTGTATTTTTAGTAGAGAAGGGGTTTCACCATGTTGGCCAAACTGGTCTGGAACTCCTGACCTCAGGTGATTCACCCACGTAGACCTCCCAAAGTGCTGGGATGACAGGTGTGTGTCAATGCCCCTGGCCTATTCTCGACTTTATAAAGCAAAAGGAAATAGTTGTTGAGGACCCAGTGCTGAAGACAAGCTCAAAGTGAGGGAGAGAGCTGCTGGACCGCCCTGGATGGGGCCTGCAGGGTGGGCCAGGGGAGGCCCAGTCCATTCCACTGAGGAGCTAAGAGGAGAAGGAGGTGCTGAGGGACAGGGTTCAGGGCAGGCTCCAAGTGAGGAGGCCACACCTGTGCCAAGTTAAGAAGTAGCCTGAAGTCAACAAGAGAGAAGGGCTGGTGTGGGGGGGCTTAAGAGGGGACAACAGCCATAGGTCAAGCAAGACTTACACAGCTGGGGCAGCCCTATCCCAAACCCTTGTAGCAGCACCAAATGCCCACATGATGAAATCTAAATTCTGGTACCTCACATATGAGGCCTGGTCTCTCTCCCACCTGTCTTTCCCCTCTCCCTTCATGCACCTCTGGGGTAGGATGAAAGCAAAAGATAGAGGTGGCAGTGAGAGTGGGGCTGAAGAGTGGGGAGCAGTAGAGGCAAGGGCTGAGTGTGGTCTGTGGGCCAGAAGTAGGAGGGTGCAAGAGAATCTCCGGGCAGCCTGGGTACTGCCCCTTACCGGTGAGGAAGCAGTGGGGGCTCAGGCTATCCCTCCAGCCCATAGGTCAGTGAGTGCGTCTATCCCTGGCACAGGAGAACAGGGCCATGCTGCATGGCCACACAGAGGCCTGGCTCTTTTCTTGGGTGGGGGTAGCACCTCCTTTTTTTATCATGGGGACATTGGGGAGGGGAGGGCCCCCATATTACCCATCAGGCAGCGGCTGCTCCTGTTTTCCCGAGGGCTCGGAGGTACTGAAGGTGGTCGCCATGGATGGAGACCGGGGCAAACCCAATCCGATTCTCTACAGCCTCGTCAATGGTGAGTCTGAGTGGCTTAGGGGGCTGCAGCTTTAACTGTCTAGGTGGCCAGAGCAAAGTTCCCCAACCTCTCTAGAAGCCAGCTCCCTCATCTGTAGGACCAGGAGTACAAGATGTATGGAGAGGAAGGGCAGGGTCCAAGACAAGGAAGTCTCTGGGTTGTGTGCTTCGTCCCCTGCCTGTCATGACACCCAGGAGCTGGGAGAGCACGGGCAGGGGTGCTGAGAGCAACACGGAGGTGCTGACCCATGCTCCTCTCCCCCTGGGTATTTGCTCCTTGATGGGAACGTATGGCAACATTTCTCACACTTTTTAAGTGGCTATGCATTTTCCTCATTCTTTTTCATTGTTATCCCATAGCATATAGCTGAATTAAATGAATCAAGTGCAGTGATGATATGGCGTCTCCCTAAAGCAGCCCTGTATATGGACAAGAAAACCGAAGTTCAGATGAGCTAAATAGGCATCCCAAGCTTCCATCACTGTATTTGAACCTGAGCCTGCTAGCTCTACAGCCCGTGCTCTTCCCACAGCTGGGCAGCAACTGAGCCAGCTGAGCTGTCCCTGGGCTAGGCCAGGGCATCGCACCTGGTGCCTGGTCCCAGATGTGTACATATCTGTACGCCCCAGCCTGCCTCTAGGACATGCCTGTGCATACTCACTTTCCAGCAGCTCACATGTGGACAAACCTGCCAGCCTCTTTTTCCCAACCTCACGGGACCTCAGCTGCCTTCCCTCCCATCACCACTGCAAAGCTTTTCCCAGTCCCAGAGCACCCATCCCATCTCCTGCCTGTCCCACTCCACACCCTCCCTCTCCTCTCTTTATTCCCTTCCTCCTGTCCCTCCTTTCCCTGCTCCCCATCCATGTGTCCATGTCCTCCTCTCACTGTATGTCCTCCTTGCTTCTTCTCTTTTCTTCACACACACACACAAACACACACATGTGCACACATGCACATCTAGTATTATGCATAAGAGAAGGGACACAGTATGGAACCTGGGAGCTGGACAGAAGTGAGTTCAAGTCCCAGATCTGCACTGACTGTGTAGCCTTAGACAAGTTACTTCGCCCCTCTGAGACTGTTTCCATGTTCACAAGACACAGATGACAGGAATCCATTCTATGGAGACTTTCCTAGGCAATACAGAAGAGCTTTCATCGACACGACTCCCCTGCGCCTCCCCATGGCCCTGTGTAGAATTTCAGGGTGCTTCTCTGTGACAGGGAGCGATGGAGCCTTTGAAATTAATGAGATGTCTGGAGACATCTCCGTCATGCAGAGCCCAGCCCAACTCCAGAGAGAGGTGTATGAGCTGCATGTACAGGTACCCTCTCTCTAGCTTTGTCTTCCCTGCCCACTTTTGGTCCTAGAAGGCTATAAAAGTGATGAGACCCAGGCCCTTTTTCCTGGGACCCACAGTCTGGGGGAGGGGGGCTAGATCTTGTTCCAAAGAGCACCTGCACCAGACATGAACTCACCAACAGGGAGTCATAGAAAGGCAGGAGGAGGTGGGACTGAAGCAGCCATGCCTGAGCATGGGTGGGATCTCACAGGTGCATGCTGCCAGAGGCTGGCATTGGGTGGGTGGAGGCCGAGTGAAAGCATTCCAAGCCAGGAAAGTGCAGCAAGCTCAGGCTGGAAGGAAGAGCAGCGATGTACTGGAGAAACAACAAGGAGTCAGGTGAGGCCACAGCAGAGAGCCCATGGGCAGTCTGGAGAAGGAGGAAAGGTGGACTCTCAGGCTGGGGCCAGAGGAGCCCTGAAACCGAGGGGACTATACAAGGGATTTGTCTCTAGAGCTGTATGTGTGGCTTGTGCAGTCACACAGGGACTTATACTTAGGAGGGTCCCACACTGAGCTGAATGCTTGAAGTTTGCTGTCTTGGAATTCTTTCAGCAAGAGACCCCATATTTTTATTTTTCACCGGGCCTGTAAATTATATAGTTGGTCCCGCCCAAGAGCAATAAGGAGCCATTGGAAGGTTTTCAGCAGGATTACAGTCACTAGGAAAGTTCACCTGGCTGCTCATCCGACAAGTGGAGTTCCCAAATTTGAAGAGTTGGGCCAACCAAGATTTTCAGGATCTACTCCTGGGAGTAGGAATTCAGTATGTTTGGGGCAAACCCAGGAGTCTGCATATTATAAGCACCCAGGTAATTCTGGCACCAGTCCCAGCCAGAATTTGAGAACTCTGGTCTCAACTTGGATTCAGAGGAAACTGGATGAGAAGTAACAGGGGAGGAGAGCCTATGGGGGTGAGGAGAGGTGGGTTGGAAGAAAGGGATAAATTGAAAAGTACGCATGAGGCAGATTGCACAGAATGAGGAAATTGGCTTTGAGGGTAAGGGATGGGAGAGGAATAGATGAAGCCTGGTGGTACCATGCCATCAGGAGTACAGGACAGAGGGCAAGTGAAGTAGGTGAGAAGGATGAGTTCAAATGCCTAAGGAATATATAAGTTCAAACATCAAAACCTGGGCCATACAGGTTTGCAACTGTGGGAGAGAATGTCAACCTACAGGTAGCTGGAAGGCGTGGGAGGGAATAAAGGCACCCAGAGAAGAAGAAGAGGGAGAACAATTGACCAAGCACAGCTGTGTGAGCTGTGTGAAGAGGCTGAGAGTGAGGAGGAGGAGAGGAGCAGGTAAAGGAAACCCAGGAGGGATCAGAGGTTGAGGAGAAGCTGTAGAGAGCAGAGTCATGTTGCCACAGGAATAGAACACTTGGGAAGAAGAAAGAGTAGCAGTGACAGATGCAGTGTGGAAGTCAGGGTGAAGTATTTGAATGAGGGATGGGGTGAGAATCAAAAGGGACAACAGTGAAGGTGTGAAGGAGTAGAGTCCAGGGAGGGTGATTTTAGGATACATAAGACCAGAGCATGATTACAGAACAAGGGAAAGGAGTTCTTGAAGAAGCTCATAGGATATCTGCCACATGGTTCACAGGGTGCCTATGGGCTCTTGGCCCTGGCTTTGTAGGCTGTATTAGTTATCAGCTATGTAATGGATTACCCCAAACTTAGTAGCTTAAAACAATACACATTCATATCTCATAGTTTCTGTGGTTCAGGACTCCAGGCTCAGCTTGGCTGGGTCCTTGGTCTCCAGGTCCCTCGCATTGTTGCAATCAGATTGTCAGCCAGGACTGGGGTCTCATCTGCAGGCTTGACCGGAGAAGTACTGGTTTCCATGCCTACCCAATTATTGGCAAGACTCAATTCCTTGTGGGCTGTTGGACTAAGAGCTTCAGCTCCTTGCTGGCTATTGGCTAGAGGTCACCGTTCATCTCTGTCAGCTGTAGTTACCTGCTTTATCAAAACCAGCAAAAAAGAGAGTTCACAAGACAGAAGTTACAATCTCTTGTCATCTAATCATGAAGTGATAGCTTGCCATCTTTGCCATATGTTATCATTCAGAAGCAAGTTGCTAGGCCAGGACACACTCAAACTGAGGGGATTATACAAGGGAGGTAGGAGCTGGACCATCTGAAGGGTACACCTGCCACACAGCAATAGACGCTTTTCCCCATCCCAGGTGACCGAGATAAGCCCTGTGGGCAGCCCAGCTGCCCAGGCCATAGTCCCAGTCACCATCAGGATTGTGGACCTCAACAACCACCCACCAACATTCTATGGAGAGAGTGGACCCCAAAACAGGTTTGAGCTGTCCATGAATGAGCACCCACCCCAGGGAGAGATCCTGAGGGGCCTCAAGATCACCGTCAATGACTCTGACCAGGTGCGTGGTCCTGCCCTCCACTCTGCCTTCCCGCAAACTGCATGGAGCTGAGGTCCCAAAGCTAAGTGGGTCTGCATCAAACTTCCCTGTGTATGTAGCAGGGGTCCAGTGGGCCACAAAAATGAATGAAACAGTAAGAGGAGAGAGGAGGGAGAGTAGCCAATCAAAGTCTACCTGCTTAGCCTGAAGGCACTCACAATCCATTCAGAAGGAAAAGTCAGATGCAGAAACTCTCTTAATAATATCTCCCAGGTTAAGGGCATGTGAAGACTTCTATGCAGTAGGAATATAAATTTCTATCCTCATTCATCTTCCCTGTTTCCATTCTCCAAATTCTCCAGGGAGCCAATGCCAAATTCAACTTGCAGCTGGTGGGAGCCAGGGGCATCTTCCGAGTGGTTCCACAGACAGTCCTGAATGAAGCCCAAGTCACCATCATTGTGGAGAACTCAGCTGCCATTGACTTTGAAAAGTCCAAAGTATTAACTTTCAAGGTTGGTGGTGCCTTGAACTCACTGCCCTGAATGGGAGGGACCCAGGAATTCATACAAGCATCTTGGTTCATTCCCAAGGGGTCTCTTGTCACTCTCTGGCCTTCCTGGCCCTCCTCTTTTCTTCTCCAGCCCTCTGCTCTTCCTGCAGGTTGCTCACAGCCTCAGCCTCACTGAGCTCCCTGGCTTACACACCACAACCAGCCCCAGGAATGGAGGTGGTGGTGTGGGATCAAAGGAAAACTACCAATATAATTTGCCATGTTAATAGACTGAGAGGAAAACTATTTGATGATCAAGATAGATGTTTTATCATATGCCTTGACATCTGTTATCTCTCCTAATAACAATCTTAGCAGAAGAGAAACAAAATACTTCTGTGATATCATTGATAATTATGTAAAATCATAAAGGTATTACAAAATGCATATTATATATGAACATACATAATATGTTAATAGGAAAAGGAAATACTTGATTGACATGATTAAAATTTTTATTTATAATTCTACACATATACACATGTCCTCTTATAGTCTGTATTATGCTTCAAAGTGAAATACTCGGCCGGGCGCGGTGGCTTACCCTATAATCCCAGCACTTTGGGAGGCCGAGGCGGGTGGATCACGAGGTCAAGAGATGGAGACCATCCTGGTCAACATGGTGAAACCCCGTCTCTACTAAAAATTACAAAAAATTAGCTGGGCATGGTGGCGCGTGCCTGTAATCCCAGCTACTCAGGAGGCTGAGGCAGGAGAATTGCCTGAACCCAGGGGGCGGAGGTTGCGGTGAGCCGAGATTGCGCCATTGCACTCCAGCCTGGGTAACAAGAGCGAAACTCTGTCTCAAAAAAAAAAAAAAAAAAAAAAAAAAAAAAAAGAAAAGCGAAATACTATTACAAAAGCAATCCATGAAGTTAGGAACAAAGCATGGATGCCTGCTATCACCACTATTATTTAACAGAATTCCTGGAATAACATTGTTCCTGGATAAGGAAAGGAAATAAGAAGTTCAAACGTTAGAAAGGAGGAGACAAGATAGATATTATTTGCAGATAATACGATTGTTCGGTTAGAGAATCTAAGAGAAAAGACAAAACAAAACTCTTAGAAACACAGAAAAATTGCTAATATGGCTGATTACAAAGTTTATGCACAAAATCCAGTAGTTTTCCTATATACAGAAAATAATAAGAAAATATGAGACTAAAAATTCTCTTTTACAATAACAACCAACACATAAAATTTGTAGGAAGTAGCATAAGAAGAAATGTGTATCATCCAAATGATGAAAAATGCAAAATTTTACAAAGAGGCATAAAGAAAGTAAAAGACATAAAGGGTATACCTTGTTTAAAAAGTTTGAATTCTCCTTAAGTTAATAAAGAATTTGGTTTGGTGCAGTGGTTCACACCTGTAATTCCAGCACTTTGGGAGGCTGAGTGGGACAGATAGCTTGAGCCCAAGAGTTTGAGACCAGCCTGGACAACATGGCAAAACCCCATCTCTGCAAAAACTACAAAAATTAGCCAGGCATCGTGGTGCATGCCTGTAGTCTCAGCTTCTCGGAAGGCTGAGATGGGAGGATGGCTTCAGCCTGGGACGCAGAGGTTGCAGTGAGCCAAGATAGCGCCATTACCCTCCAGCCTGGGCAACAGAGCCAGGACTTGGTTTTTTTTTTTGAGACAGAGTCTTGCTTCATCGCCAGGCACCAGGCTGGAGTGCAGTGGCACTATCTCAGCTTACTGCAACCTCCTCCTCCCATGTTCAAGCAATTCTCCTGCCTCAGCCTCCCAAGTATCTGGGACTACAGGCATGTACCACCACGCCCAGCTAATTTTTGTATTTTCAGTAGAGACAGGGTTTCACTATGTTGGCCAGGGTGGTCTCGATCTCTTGACCTCGTGATCCACCCGCCTCGGCCTCCCAAAGTGCTGGCATTACAGGTGTGAGCCACCACGCCAGCCCTATTTATTGTTTTTGAGGCAGAGTCTTGCTCTTTCTCCCAGGTTGGAGTGCAGTGGTGTGATCTCAGCTCACTGCAACCTCCACTTCCTGGGTTCAAGTGATTCTCATGCCTCAGCCTCCCAAGTAGCTGGGATTACAGGTGCATGCCACCATGCCCAGCTAATTTTTGTATTTTTAGTAGAGACAGTGTTTCAACATGTTGGCCAGGCTGGTCTCGAACTCCTGACCTCAGGTGATCCGCCCACCTTGGCCTCCCAGAATGTTGGGATTAGAGGCATGAGCCATCGTGCCCGGCCTGTTTGTTGTTGTTGTTGTTGCCCCTAATTAATTCTTCCTTAGAATTTCCTTTGGACAAGTGGCAACGAGGTTTGACAAAATTAAACTGGTTTTTACCTTTGGCAATAAACTTATAAAAATAGTCAAGACAATTGGAACTGGAAAGGAATATGCAGCTCAGTGGAACAAAATAAACTGACTCCAATATAGAAGGGAATGATCAGAAAACTGGCATTACAAGCCAATTGAGGGGATAGAGGATGATGCCAGGCCTCAGAGGTGATCCTTACAGATTGTGGCAGGAATAGCCGTTTGGCAGCTGTGAGGAAGATTGGGAGACTTGGCAGACAGAGGCTGTATCAGTCCTGGGGAGATGAGGTGGGAAGGCTCTCCGCAGGGTGATTACCCACCCAGACAAGTTCTCATTTTCCTTCCTTCCCAGCTCCTGGCAGTTGAAGTGAACACTCCGGAGAAATTCAGTTCTACAGCGGATGTTGTGATCCAGCTCCTAGACACCAATGACAATATCCCCAAGTTCAACTCCCACTACTACGTTGCCAGGATTCCTGAGAATGCCCCAGGGGGCTCCAGTGTGGTGGCTGTCACAGTGGGTTGGAGACTGGCCCAGGAACTGGGGTGGGATGGGGGCCTTGTGAAGCCAGACAAATCTGGAAGGTCAATTCCAGTTTGAGTGGCAAATCCCACACTCATTAGCTGTCCTTGGACAAGATACTTGCCCTCTCTTAGCCTCAGTTTCTTCATCCATGCAATGGGGATTACAACACCTCACAGAACTGTAATGAGGATATACATGTAAACAACAAGCACAGGGCATGGGACCCATCCCCTCTTCCTTCCTCATTTACAAAGGAGAGATGAATGTTTTCCAGATCTAAATCTCTTGGCTATTTCAACACTTAAAACTTCTTGGAGGAAAACCAAGGCTCCCGGGCAGGTCTCTCCATCAATTTCTCCCCAGTTGGGCAAACCTCAAATCCCCTTGCTTTGTGGTTGAAAGCCACCCTCAGGGCATGGGAGCTGCCAACACACCCTGACAAAGAGGCACATGTCACCAGGAGCTCTTTCTCTTCCAGGCTGTGGATCCAGACACGGGACACTGGGGCGAAGTGAAATATTCCATCTATGGGACTGGGGCAGACCTGTAAGTAGATCCAGAATCCAGGACAGGGCCTTGGGCAAGGGGTTTGGAAGACTGAGGGTGGAGGGGGTCTGTGGCAGGGGCAGGAGAGACCTGGGAGGGACAGGAGCTTGGGCGAAGAGGAGTGGAGAGAAGAAGTGGAAAGCTGAGGCAGAGCGTGAAGAAGGTCAGAGCCCAGGGCCTCAGGAGCCAGGTAAGCAGGACCGGCTGGGGAGGGGACAGGCTATAGGAAGAGAAAGAGAAAGACTACAACTGGAGTTGTTAAGCTGAATAGTGACAGATGGGTGTCCACGGGTGGATCTACCTTACTTAGACTGCAAGGATAGGAGGGAGCAGTGGGACACTTTGGAGGACCTGTGTGACACCTCACTGTTGATTCGGGAGGCAGCTCGTTATTGCAGGCATGTGTTTGTGTGCACATGTGTGTGTATGCATGCACACCCGCGCCTATGCTCTCTGCCTGGCAGCTTCCTGATCCACCCATCCACTGGGCTTATCTATACCCAGCCCTGGGCTAGCCTGGACGCAGAGGCCACTGCCAGGTACAACTTCTTTGTGAAGGCAGAGGATATGGAAGGCAAGTACAGCATAGCTGAGGTGTTTATCACACTGTCAGATGTCAATGACCACTGCCCTCAATTTGGAAATAGCATTCAGAAGAAGACAATGGTGCTGGGGGCCCCAGTGAAAATTGAGGTGAGTTTCAGAGGCAGCTGAGCTCCCCTGAAAGCCTGGGTTCAGCAGCTGCAAGAGATACTGGGGCATACAAATTTCACTGAAGATAAAATTTATTGGCTTCCCACAATGGACAAGGAACTTTAAGATATTTTATATATCCCCAACCCCACCTCAACATAGAAGTAAAGTAGACAGTGCTACTCAACAAAGGAAAAAACAGGCCAGATGGGTTAAGTGTTTGGCTTGCCTTTACATAGCTGGTCTGCCTGCTTTCCAAAGAGTGGTTTTCTCAGTGTACTTTCTCATCTTGCCAATGTGGCCAAAAGGATGAACTCTGAAACCAGGCAGACTTGACTGTGAATCCTGGCTGTCTTTCTTATGCCTCTATATCCATGGGCAAGCCACTTCGCATCTAAGTTTTCATTTCTACATCCTTAATATGTATTCACCAATACTTGCTTCCTAGACTTGTTCTGAGAATGGAACTGGGTAGCACATGTGTAAGGCCTACATAGACCCTGGCTTATAGCAGGGCACACATTCTATTCCTTTCTGAACTCAATCCTCTCAAAATAGGATCAGGACAATTTCCCATCAACCCAGCAAGCCCCATACAACATGCTGATTTAGCCAGTGTACACAAGGATGGTCCTGAAAGCCCAGCTCTGTCTGTCTCTCCCTGTGCACAGGCCATAGATGAGGATGCAGAGGAACCCAACAACCTGGTGGACTATTCCATCACCCATGCAGAGCCGGCCAATGTGTTTGATATCGATGCCCACACGGGGGAGATCTGGCTTAAGAATTCCATCCGCTCCCTGGATGCCCTGCACAACATCACACCCGGGAGGGACTGCATATGGTCTCTAGAGGTGCAGGCCAAGGACCGGGGCTCCCCATCCTTCAGCACCACGGCCTTACTCAAGATTGACATCACAGACGCTGAGGTGAGTGCAAAGCCATGGTCAGGAAAAAGGGGTCAGAGGACCAGCTCAGGCCTCTCTGCAACGTGGGCAAAACGAGAAGTACCATCTCCAGGCTTCCTCCAGAAGACACTCAGTGGGTCAGACATGGTGGCTCATACCTGTAATCCCAGCACTTTGGGAGGCTGAGGCGGATTGATCACGAGGTCAAGAGATTGAGACCATCCTGGCCAACATGGAGAAACCCCATCTCTACTAAAAACACAAAAATTAGCCGGATGTTTGGCACGTGCCTGTAGTCCCAGCTACTTGGGAGGCTGAGGCGGAAGAATCGCTTGAACCTGGGAGGCAGAGGTTGCAGTGAGCCAAGATTGCGCCACTGTGCTCCAGCCTGGCAACAGAGCAAGACTCTGTCTCAAAAAAAAAAAAGAAAGAAAATTAGACGGCATAAATTTGGCCGGGCGCGGTGGCTCACGCCTGTAATCCTAGCACTTTGGGAGGCCGAGGTGGGTGGATCACCTGAGGTCAGGAGTTCAAGACCAGCCTGGCCATCATGGTGAAATCCCATCTTAAAAAAAAAAAAAAAAAAAAAAAAAAGCCGGGCATGGTGGCTCACGCCTATAATCCCAGCACTTTGGGAGGCTGAGGCGGGTGGATCACGAGGTCAAGAGATCAAGACCATCCTGGTCAACAAGGTGAAACCCCGTCTCTACTAAAAATACAAAAATTAGCTGGGAATGGTGGTACACGCCTGTAGTCCCAGCTACTCAAGAGGCTGAGGCAGGAGAATTGCTTGAACCCAGAAAGCAGAGGTTGCAGTGAACCGAGATCGTGCCATTGCACTCCAGTCTGGGTAACAACAGCGAAACTCTGTCTCAAAAAAAAGAAAAAAGAAAAGAAAAAAAAAAAAGACACTCGATGTTATCAAAGGGAGCCTGTGCCATCAAACACACAAGCTTTGGAAAGGGGGTTGAGTTTCTAGTTCAATACTTATTAATGGTGTGACATTGGGCTTTGCTAAACGTCTGCTACCTATCCTGTAAAATGGAAATAATGGTGCCTCCTTCACATGGCTGTTGAAAAACAGAGTGAAATCATTATGTGTAGCTCTCAGCTCAGTGTATCACAGAAAAGTAGTCACTTAAGAGGTTCCTGATATATCTGGGCAGATGGACCCCCCACTCCTTGCCACAATCAAAGGCAGGTAATCTCCTACTCTCTCAAGGACAGAATCCAGCTAAAGCCGGAGTTCTGAATCCAAATGAGGTAGTTTGCATTGCGTTCTGTCTGAGCACACTGGACTAGAGAGTGTCTGCACCATGCTGTCTTTGAATGCATCATACTCTCTCTGTATGCATTTTCCTGAACAAAAGCCCAAGTGCATAGTGCCTATCAGATTCTCAAAGGGACTCCTGACTCCAGAAAGTTTAAAAACCATTAGGTTTAAGGAAGCACATGCCCTACTCTGGACTTCAATGACCAGGTGGGAACAGCTGAGTGCAGGAAGTGGTTCTCTCTTTCAGACCCTCTCCCGGAGCCCCATGGCTGCCTTCCTGATACAGACCAAGGACAACCCCATGAAGGCCGTGGGTCTGCTGGTTGGCACCATGGCCACCGTTGTGGCCATCACCGTCCTCATCTCCACCGCCACCTTCTGGCGCAACAAGAAATCTAACAAGGTCCTGCCAGTGCGACGGGTGGTTCGCAAGCGGTCTGCCCCTGCGCCCCGCACCATCCGCATTGAGTGGCTCAAGTCCAAGAGCGCCAAAGCTGCTACCAAGTTCGTGCTCAAAGAGAAACCTCCTAATGAGAACTGCAACAACAACAGCCCAGAAAGCTCCCTGCCCCCAAGAGCTCCAGCTCTCCCTCCACCTCCCAGCATGGCACCCAGCACAGGCGCAGCCCACTGGACCGTGCCTACTGTCTCTGGCTCTCTCACCCCGCAGCAGTCCCAACTCCCACCAAACCCCAAAACTATGGGAAGCCCTGTCCAGTCAACTCTGATTTCTGAGCTCAAGCAAAAGTTTGAGAAGAGTATGCACAGCAAGGCTTACTTCTAGTGTGTGCGCTCTGGTCTGCCCTCTTTCCTTCCCCCGACCCCGACCACCCTGCTGCTCTGACCATGCTCTCCTTCCTCTTTTCCTTAAAGTCACCCCTGTTTTGTACAATGGTGTAACTCCCATATACAGGGCTCCGGTCAGGGCCTTGGGCAAGACATTGCTTGGGCAATAGGGTGCAGTTGGAAAATACTTCCCCATTACTCAAATCCTTGGCACTGCTACAATGCCCCCCATTCTTCAGGGCTGGGAGTTGACAAGAAGCCATGTGTCTTCTATTCACTAACCCTGGACTGCTACAATGCCCCCCATTCTTCAGGGCTGGGAGTTGACAAGAAGCCATGTGTCTTCTATTCACTAACCCTGGACCTCACAGTCCCCAGGTCCTACTGGGATCTCTTAATCCTTAGTCAAGCAGCAGGTCCCTGGCCACATGGAACAACACTGACTAGAATTTGGATCCCGATGCCTGCAGCTGAGAGCAGGAGCAGGAAAAGGAGACTCAGCACTGTCTCAGGCTGGAGTTCATCAAACCTCCTGGGCTGTAGGAAAGCAAATGTAGGTAAGGGGAGGGCAGAGATGCACTGAAAACACACACACTGACTTCAGGACTGTGCCGGGAAGCATTTGGAAAGATAGAGCATTCTGTCTGGGCAAAGACTGTGGGCTCTGGTATGCCCACATGGGACCAGGGATACAGAGGTGGAAGATGGACCCTGCCAAGATTGAGGGCAGATGTCTCTATCCAGGACTGCCCTGAGTCCAGAAATGTCAATGCTGGAGTTATAGAGGTAGCCCTAAAGGCATCCAGAGGAGCATCAGGGCCCCTCTCTGAGGAGCTGCCCCACCAGCCATCCTTGAAGAGACAACTCAGAGCAGTAGATGAATGTCAGGGCTGAGATGCAGGGTGACTTCCTTTTTTATCCAGCTCTTCTGCTCACATCCTATAACCTTGGGAAAGCTGTTTAAACTGACTGATCATCCTCTTCCTCATCTGTAAATGAAGAAATGTGTTCTAGAGGGATTGTTAGTGAGTCCTGTCTGCCTCATTTGTAGGTCTGGGGTGAGGATTGAGGAATGTAATGGTGATGAGGACTTTAACCAAGTGAAAAGCAGCATGAATGCAAAGTATTTTTCTGCAGCCCAGTTCTCTGGGTGCAGCTCTTCCAGAAGGTCTTAGGAGCCTCACAGCTACTCTGCCAAGCACCCCAGGAGGTACTGTGCTGGGCTTAGGGGGCTAGCACTAGATGATGGCATTGCCATGACTCATACACCTCTCCTTCCATTCTTCCCTTACCCATCACCACTGCGGTCCTGGCAAGCTACCATCAGAGAGTACCAGAGTTCCAAGTCTCCAATTTGCCAAGATGAAGGAAATGAGTTCCCAAGAGAGGAATGCTTTGCCTGAGGCCACACAGCAGGTTGGTAGCAAGGATCTGGTCTAGCCAGGGCAGACATCAGCTTGTGACAACCTTCCCTAGGAGAGAAGTTATACAAGGCCTCTGGGTTAATACAAACAGGTTGTGCCTTGCTTTAAGGAACCTGCTATCAGGAAATCCAGATGCGTGCACAGAGAGAGAAAAGTAGAACGGTTCTTGGCATTCGACTCCACTCACTAACAGCCCCTCTAGAATACATTGGTGATTTTATTTAAATAGATCGTACGCACATGTGGCTCTCCCGATTTCTGAGTCTGTGTTTGGAGGTGTTACTGAGGTGTGCCAGTGTGCAGAATCCTTGCTGGGATTTCTACAGTCCCTGACTTGAACAGTATTAAGCAAGAGGTGTACTCTAGCTATCCAGGAGCCCAGACTGAGCAAACAGGTACTTTCCAGCCTGTGTTTCAGGAGAGGGCTGTACTGGATCGTGCTTGACCTCCACAGGGAATACAGCATCCTTACGGCTTGCATGCAGTCAACCTCTTTTGTAAAATGGTAAATAAAATCTGTTACCCAAAGGCCATGCTGATCCCCTGCTCCCTGCTTTCATTTGTGTTTGCTGACCTGTGGAGACCAGTCTTCTTGACACACAGCCAAGTTCAATTTGCCTCCTGGCTCCTTCAGTGGGTGGGTCCATTCTTTGACTCCCAGATCTGACTCTAAAGGAGGCTGAAAAATTTTGTCCAAATTGCCATGCATATACCTTGAACAGCAGGACATTAGCAGGCCTTTTCTATTGGACTTTTCTCCCAAACAGGACAAGCCCAGGCAGGGCTTCTTGGAGGGGAATGGAACCTGGAGCTAGAATCAATTGCACAGTCTCCCACCTACCAGTGCAGCCCAGCAACAGCAGGAATTGGGAGGCCTAGGGTGGGCAGGAAAGCGTGGGAAGCACTGTTGTTTCTCAGACAGAGATCATAAAGATCTCTGAGCTGGAAGCTCAGGCTAGCAAGTGGACCCTGGGCCAAGGGTGAGCTCTTGGACAAGCCCAGGAACTTGAACCAAGGCAGAGCCAATCTTGCAAACTGTCCGTGGATGGGGAAGTGCCCAGTAGCCAGCATGAGCCACACTGGAAAAGAGGAGGGTGCAGCCAGACCTAAGGGACTGTCAAGTGTGGTCAGTGCTGGAGGAGACCCCGCCATTGGGGTGGAGCCAGCCAAGTCCCTGTGTTAAGAATGGTGGGCCAAGGAGCTGCCTGCTCAGTCCCAGTGAGACGGGCAGAGCTTCAAGCTGGCACCATGATAGGCCTCCAGGGAAAGAGCTGGGAGGCAGGAATGGCACGCTGGGCTTGCCGATTCCTGGCCCTAAGAATGGAGCTATAGTCCCATGGGCAATAAGTGGATGTGACTCCAAAGTCCTCCTGCAGCTGAGCTCAGGTCTTCTAATCACATTAAATAACAAAGTGCTTTACAGTTTGACAGCCCTAGATCTGAATTCTGGTTCCGCCATTAAGTGTGACTTTGGAAAAGAGGTCAAATCTCTAAGGGCCTCACTTTCCTCATTAATACAGGGTGCAAAATATGGTTGCAGAGAGGACGATAAGAGCTAATATATGTAAAGTGCCTAGCACTGGCTTTGTATCTACTTATACAAGCTCAGTAGACTGTAACTGTGGCCCACATACTAGAGCACTATGTCCTGAAAGAGAGGACCCCCTCCATGAGTTTTCACCCCCAGAATGTTTCCACTCCACCTATAGATCCAGAAGCTTTTACTTCATGCTAGAAGAAGAGAGAAGGTTGGGTCTGGAGGGAAGTGGAGGACAGGGTGGATGCCACAGCATCTGTGACCTGTGCAGCTGGCAGCCTGCATTTGGGCATTGACATTCCAGGGGATTTGGGAACAATGAGATGTCCCAAAGAACTTGTGGAACTCTGTCCTCAAGCAGCTCTCCCTCAGAATCCAGCTGGAAACATGTGTTCAGAGTTAGGGCGAAGTCACCATGCTCTGCTTCTCTAAGTATTTTGGTGATTCTGTCTTTAGGGACTGAAGGCTTTGAAGGAATCCAAGGCCAGTCCACCTGCCAGGGGTGTTGGCATCTGTTGACAGGTGCCACAAAGATATGGAGAGAAAGAATGGAGAAGAGTCCACATGAAGAATGAGGCAAGAGACTGTCATGTGCCACATGGAGGACCCCTTAGGAGACTCACATACAACCTGGGGAGGGGTTCTCTGAAGGGCCTAGTTTCCAGAATGAAGTGATCATGGCCTAAGCTACCATAATTTGATCAATAAAGCAGAGTAGAAACAGGCTGATGTTGGAGACATTGGTTTCATGTTATGAAATGATGCACATGACCAGGCCCGGTGGCTCACACCTGTAATCCCAGCACTTTGGGAGGCTGAGGCAGGCGGATCATGAGGTCAAGAGATTAAGACTGTCCTGGCCAATATGGTGAAACCCGTCCCTATTAAAAATACAAAAATTAGCTAGGCATGGTGGCACATGCCTGTAGTCCCAACTACTCGAGAGGCTGAGGCAGGAGGATTGCTTGAACCTGGGAAGCGGAGGTTGCATTGAGCCACGATCACACCACTACACTCCAGCCTAGCGACAGCGTGAGACTCCATCTCAAAAAACAGTTGTGCACATGCACCTCTTTTGAGGTCTGAATGAGGTTTGGTTATTTAATAATCTCTCAATAATTTACTCAGCTATTGTTAGGGTGACACATTTGGAGTATATCATCTGTGCCGGGCTCTCTTCTAGGTGTTAGATGTACAGTTTCTAACAAAATAGAAGAAAATAAGAAAACATAAGAAGAACAAAATTCCTCTCTGAAATTGATAATCACCTGGGACTAGAGAGGCTTCATTTTAAAAGTAAGTAGCCCTGCTTGTAGATGTCTCCTCAACCAAAGGCATTTGCCTTAAACTTGCACGGTCTAAGCTCTAAATAAATAAGCTTCTCAGGGATATAACAACTGAATCTGAAATGGTAGCATCTTTTCAACATGAATTAAACAGAACATGTGGAGGATATTAACCTAGATGTCATGTCATTACATATATATATATAAATACACACACATATGTATCCCTAATAAGATCTAATATCTTATGGTCCTGTCTATGTTCTGAGTCACATTCAAAGAAAGCACAAACTGACTTAGATGCTTGAAATGATGGTAACATTTATTATTGTGACATTTACTGAGGGTTTACTACGTGCCAGATATTGTTCTGAGAACTTCACCTGTAAATAAAAACCTTGTATAATCATGAGAATAAACCTACAAGGTAGGTACTGTTATTATCCCCATTTCACAGGTGAGAAAACTAAGGTACTATTACTACTTTATTTTATAGGTGAGAAGACTAAAGTACATGAAAAGAGAATAACTTCCTCGATGTAACAAAGCCAGTAAGAAATAAAGCCAAAATTTAAGCCCAAGAAACCAGATTCCAGACAGGGTCTATTCTTGTATCCCCACTGTCAAATTGCCTTACTCAATCTGAGTAACATGAATCTTTACTCTGGGGTTTTTCAAGGGCAGCCCAAGCATCTTAAAAAGTATCAGATTCAGGCCGGACGTGGTGGCTCACGCCTGTAATCCCAGCGCTTTGGGAGGCCAAGGCGGGTGGATCACGAGGTCAAGAGATCGAGACCATCCTGGTAAACATGGTGAAACCCCGTCTCTTCTAAATACAAAAAATTAGCTGGGCGTGGTGGCACGTGCCTATAATCCCAGCTACTCAGGAGGCTGAGGCAGGAGAATTGCCTAAACCTAGGAGGCAGAGGTTGCGGTGAGCCGAGATTGCGCCATTGCACTCCAGCCTGGGTAACAAGAGCAAAGCTCCATCTCAAAAAAAAAAAGAGTATCAGATTCTCAAAAATCCTCCCTAGACCATTTCCCTCTCCCTAAATTTCCATGTTTACATGACACTGCCCTGCCCACCAACATGTTCCTGGCTCTCCCCCTGCACTGCTTGCTCCTCTTCCACAGCCCTTCTCTTGTCCTGACCCCTCTGTCTCACATGCACCACCAGGCTTCTTTTGCTTGGTGTAAAGGTCTGAACATACACTCTCACCTTCATGGTAGCCCAGGCCGTGTCTTGATGGCTGCACCCTCGAGTTCCATAGACCACTGTATTAATCCATTCTCATGCTGCTAATAATGACATAACCGAGATTGGATAATTTACATAGAGAAGAGGTTTAATTTACTCAGTTCAGCATGGCTGGGGAAGACTCAGGAAACTTACAATCATGGTGGAAGGGGAAGCAAACATGTCCTTCTCTACATGGCAGCAGGAGAGAGAAGAATGAGAACCGAGTGAAGGGGGAAGCCCCTTATAAAACCATTAGATCTCGTGAGAACTTACTCACTATCATGAGAACGACGGCATGGGGGAACTGCCCACATGATTCAATTACCTCCTATCAGATCCCTCCCATGACGTGTGGAGATTATGGAAATTACAATTGTAGATGAGATTTGGGTGGGGACACAGTTAAACCATATCAATCCCCCTTGATGCTATGGAAGGAAGCATACAGAGGCCTAGAGAAGTGTAAATTCCTTTCTTGCTCCAACCACTTTTCTTAAAAAATTTATCATAGGAAATTCCACATAAATAAATTATCTGCCACATTACACATATGTGTGTATTTTACACATGTGCATATCTAAATATATATGTCCCCATAATCTTTAAATATATGTTCTTATGAGTGATAATAACATTGTGGTTATGCTTTTTAAAACTTCATTTGTTAGACCTCAAACTAAAACATTTTCAGGTAAACTCGTGTGAAGCTTTGTATTTGTTTTAAAACACTCCAATTAAAAAAAATGTCGAGGGCAAGGACAAGATGAAATGAGCCTGGAAAATATTAAAACTTGGTAAAGCTGATGGAAGAAGAGGGATGAGATTCTCTCTGCTTTTGGCAAGACTAAAATTTTTTATTTAAAAGTGATTTTTGCCAGGTGTAATACCAGCTACTTGGGAGACAGAGATGGGAGGACGGCTTGAGGTCAGGAGTTTGGTACCAGCCTGGGCAACATAGTGCGACCCTGTCCCTAATTTTTTTTTTTTTTAATTTAGAGGGTTTTTTTTTTCTAATGCCCAGAAGAAAATAAATGAGTAGAACCTGAAGAAATGACTAGACAATTGGTCTGAACATGAGAACTGTCTTCAATTTAAAAAAATTTATTGTAACTAACATTTATTATGAGCACAAATCAGGTATTAGACTAGTGCAGTGTCCGCAGTGAGGAAGGTCATTCTTTGCCTGCAAAGGTCTCACAACCAATGGACACACTGTGCATGCTGTTCTTCTCCACAGAGGTGTGAAGTCAAGGCAGGCTCTGTGGAAGATGTAATGTACACACTTGAGAGGGGCCTAAAAGGATAGTTAGGAATGGGTAAAAAAAGTGTGAAGATGTCACAACGAGGCTAGCTCATGTTTACACTCTTTGAAAGCTTTCCATGTGGCCAGTGAGGGAAACTGCAGGAAGACATATGTGGATTAAGTCCTGGAAATGGTCTCCCCTTGAAGGGCTGTCCAGAGGGATGATGAGCTGATGCTGGGATTCCTGGGGCCCCTCCATTCCACATGAGTCCAGCTAAGAGGAAATGACCACCTCTCAGGGATTTCCTAGGAGGGCTTGAGACATTGACTAAGGGAAAGTGGTGGACACATGGATGCTCTTTCTTCTGGGTATGGCCCAACAGACTCTGCTCTCTGCCAGACCCAGGGCTGCAGCTGATCCTCTGCTCCTCCTCGCTGTAGATAGCTCCAGCCTTCCCAGTTGCTCCAAGGACCTCTCACCGGGGAACAGACACTCAGAAAAAGAGACTCACATCACCCAACAGCTCTCATCACCCTTAAGGGCAGCTCTTTGGAACCTCACATTTATGTGATCTCATTAGGAGTTTGTCATGAAGAGAGAGGGTCACACTTTCTACACAATGAAAGACACAAGAATATTGCCAAATAGATATTCAAGGAAACAATGGAATTGGAATCTCTTTTGAGTAGGGCTTCTGCCTTCTGCCAGATGCGGACTCTGGGCGTGTCATTGAACTGTCCAGGCTGCGGTTGCTTCACCTACAAAGAGGGGGTAGAAGTCTACCTTCGTTTGCAGGATAACATAGGCAAAATGTTATATGTAGATGTTATGTATAAACATGTAAATGTTATAAGGCTACGTATATGCAAAGAGTAACATTTAGTAATTTCTAATCACCATGTATAATAAGATGATTAATTTGATAAGACAAATCTTCATCAACCTTAACTCCATGGAGATAATGACTGTGTCCTCTTTATCATGAAGATAAAGACTCTGTTCCCCTTTTTACTGTTTAGCACCCCCATGTCAAGTTCAGTGCTTTGAACACAGTGGGTAAGCAATATATACGTGGTAGATAAATGGATGGACTGCTGCAGAGGGTTGGTTTCAGAGGCTTGAAGCCTACACCATTTCCACCCCATGGCTTGCGTTCTTCAGCTGTTGTCTTCCATTCCTTCCTTCTCCTTGTCCCCCTCAGTGTCTATGTGCCCTTCACCATCATCACAGACAGCTGGATGTTCTCTAAAAGAGCCATCCCTGCATGGTGCGGCTGCATGGGGGCAGCTAGGGGCTTTTCTGCGATGAGGACAGCAGCGCAGGACCCACTTGCTGCAGCTGCAGGGGCCCTGGGCTGCCCAGGCATAGGTACCCACAGGCACTGCAAGCAGCACCACGCACAGGACCACTGTGACATGCAGGAGGCGCTTACGTGCTTCTAGACCAACACCATCTCTGCCTGTTACAAAAACTACACACTGGCCCTGGTGTGGAGGCTGGCCCTCTAGGCTGAGGCAGGCCTCATATTTTGTGCCAGGAAGGAGGTCATCCACAGCATAAGTGTTGATTCCAGGGCCAACGTGAACCACCTCCTTCCTGACAGCTTCATCAGATGCAATGCAGAGGGTGAACCACTCCTCCTCAGGGGTGTCAGCCACTGCAAGCCACTGCAGCAAAATCCCGTGCACTGTCTGCTTGACAACTCGCAGGTCAATGTAGGCACTGCCCTCTGAGGGGATGGAAAGAGAATCAGGTGCAGGTAGGGCCTGGACAGGCTGGACATGGAGAGAGATTACAAGGGCGCTCTTGCCGATGGAGTTGGAGGCTGTGCAGGTGTAATTACTGCTGTCCACCAGGTGGGCAGCAGGTATGGCCAGCTCCGACAAAGCAGTGTCCTCTCCAGTAGAAGATGTCAGCACTGGGTGGCAAGAAAAGCAAAACAGCTCTGCATTTATCTGATAGACTGCTGGAAAGTGTCTAGCAATGCCAGTTGTTTTTTGTTCAAGGATGGTGGTGGTAACCTCTTATGAACCTTGTACCTGGTGTCAGGCGTTTGCCTCCCAGCATAGGATGTTGAGGGTTGGAGAAATTCATCAACTTTCCCACAGTGAGAGTTGTTCAGAGCAACAATTGACGTGGGACCTGGCTCTTCTATCTATGAAGACCATACTCTCAACTTCACTGACTGCACCCACCAAACCACCTTGGCTTTACTGAGCCATGGATTTCAGGAGAGTTCCTGCAACTATGTGATTGTGGGATATTATGAGCTTCAATAAGTGCCTTTTTTTTTTTTTTTTGAGACAGAGTCTCCTTCTGTCGCCCAGGCTGGAGTGCAGTGGTGTGATCTTGGCTCACTGTGGCCTCCATCTCCCAGATTCAAGCAATTCTTCTGCCTCAGCCTCCCAAGTAACTGGGACTAAAGGTGTGCACCACCACACCCAGCCAATTTTTGTATTTTTAGTAGAGATGGGGTTTCACCATGTTGGCCAGGATGGTCTTGATCTCCTGACCTTGTGATCCACCCACCTCAGCCTCCCAAAGTGCTGGGATTACAGGTGTGAGTCACCTTCTTACCTTGTAGATGTACAGTGCCTCAGAGCCTGGAGCCACATGCCTGGGCTCCTATCCCTAATAGAGCTCCTATCCTATGTGGTCCTCAGCAAGTTGCTTAAATTCTCTTGGCATCAATTTTCTTGTCAATTAAATGAGATGATAAGCAATCACCTACCTCATTAATTTGAAAGTAAATGTTCAATAAGTCTTAGTTTATATTTTTACTGAGAGATTGTGTATAACATGATGCCAAAGAGTGATTATGATTATAGAGCATCACAAAAGACAACACCTGAATGCATTTCTTGGTTTTCAAAGAGGCTACAACAATAAATCCTATATTTTTCTTTCATCGCTATTGAACATCAAACCAATATGACCAAAACAATAGACAATGTGAAAATTCAGTTAATTGGGTATTTTTAAAACCATCCAGAGGTTTGTCATCATGTGTAACAAATATCTGCACAAATGACTGTTTCCCAAATTTTACCCAGCGATTCCTAGTTGTCTTCTAGACAGAGCACGGAAGACAGGATATGAGGAATCTACAAAGATTTTTCTTTTCAGCTTCTAGATAACCCCAGGGAGGCCATCCCTAGCTTCGTGATATGCCCAGCCCTACAGAGTAGCATTAAAGGTGATCCCAGCTGAGGTATGAAAACAGAGTACAGAGTTCCAGGAAAGAAGAGGCAGATTTAAATTCCAGTCCTGGTGCCCATAGAGGTCACTTCTTTTCCCTGGGTCCCAGTATTACAACTTCAAGTCAATAAGGTCTGAAAAATCTTATGTCAATGTTTTTCAAACAAGCACCCCAGGTGATTCTGTTTAAGGCAAGTTTAGGAAATAAATAATAGATCATCTCTAGAATCAATCCTAGTCAAAATTTCTAGAATTCTAAAATACATAGTCCAGAGTTTTGCATCTAGAAAACTCCCAAAGACTACTGCTCGTATACAACTTTATAATATTTACATAAGACATTAAATCAGCGCTGAAATATGTATTTATATGTGTGTATATGTTCTAGAGAGATCGGTATGCAAACATTTAAAATAATTCTAATAGTGGAACACTACCTTGGAATATTTTCTGTTCTCGTGAGCATAATTCAGGGCTATCCCAATCTTACTTGCACCCATCCTTCATGATTGACCCAGCTTTGAACTTCTCTAACGAGGATGGGATTTCTACAGATTTCTCCATTCCCTCCAGATACACTGAGAGGGTACATGTGGCTTACCATCAAATTCTCTCCACATATTCAGGGGATAAGTCCACGCAATGGCTGGTGAGGGGCTGGCCTGTGCCAAGCATCGCAGGGTCACATTCTGTCCCACCCGGATGGTGACATTGGCACTGGGGATTGAGATCTGTGGCTTCATGCAAGTACTAAGCTCAGTTTCATGAAAAAGCTGCCCTGCCTTGGAGAGAGGGTCCCGGCATATCAGGTAGGAATTCACCAGGATGACTGGGAGGGTAATGGACTTGACAAATTGGACAAGCCCCCTTAGGCGACAGTCACATACCCAGGGGTTATCATGCAGCGTCACCGCCAAGCTGGAGATAATCTTGGCTTCATAGTCAGGCTGCGGGGGTTTCTGGTAGGCTGGCCAGTTCAGAAAGACACTCTTGGATACGACTGTAAGCCTATTGAAGGATAGGTCAAGGTAGGTCAGGTTGACCAAGAACTGAAGAGCCAGCTCAGGAAGTGCATCAATCTTGTTGCGTTTGAGATCCAAGACCTTCAGGAGAGGGGTGGCCCGGAACGCTGTCCACGGTACTGAGCGGAGCTTGTTCCCCTCCAGTGTCAACTCCCTCAGTTCTGGCAGGTGCTCCAGGGCTCCTAGGTGGATCACACTGACATTGTTAAAGTTGAGCCAAAGATATTCCAAGGTGCTCATATTGACGAAAGACTCTTGGGGCAGCTCAAATAAGGGTGAGTTTTCAATTCTTACTTGCTTGAACTCTTCAGAAACGTTCCCAGGGATCTTTCCCAAGGAGACAGATATGCACTGCAGAGTCCTGTACAAGAAATCAGAACAGCTTTAAGATAAACAACAGGGAACTGGAAAGTGAGTCAGGCTGATCCTGACATTAGACATGTGAATCAGAATAAAAATATTATTATTCATTGAAATAAAAGGGTTAGACTCATTTTGGTAAAAATGCACAGTTCAGCAAAGTTCAGCACCAACTAGAATGAGCCTCATAGAGAGTTGCTGATTTCCTGCCAATTCTAAGCCTGCTTTCACTCCACATTGTCCCCAAAGAAAACCCATTCCCCATAACCCTCTGGCATCTGGCCAGCAGAGCGCACCTGCCAAAACTCTCCTCTGAGCAAGTGCATCCTGGCACACAGAAAGGCTGCGCTGCATGTGTATCCAGAAAGATCAGAACTAACAGGAAGTGGTGAAATACTGAAGCCATATTTCTCTGTAAGAAAATACGTTGTGAGTTTTGAATAAGTATAGCCCCAGCTTCCGAGTGGCAAATCCTATTATTGGTAATCCCTGGTGATGTAGGTTGCACAGCAGCAGGAAAGCCCCTGGGATCTCTGAGATCTGTTACACCCCAGACCACAGGTTCAGTCAGAACACATGAAGGGGGACCAATGTCTCTTAGCTAGGATCACAAAATTCAACATTTGTGTGATTCTTGAGTCTGAAAAGCAAACTCCAAGTCAGATGTCTAATTCCATATATGGATTCTACCTTTCTCAGTGTCTTAGAAAGAAGTCTGAGAAACAAGCAGGTAGTGCTATTCAGCACCATTGTTAGGGGATTTGGCCAGAATCTATTTAACGCTTCATCATTCACAATTGATTCCTGAAGCCTAGAATTTCCAATCATTTTTTCAAAGTGAAAACAGGTGGTGAGTAACAAAGTAGTTCTGTGTTCATTCCTGTCATTTGTTCTCTTTCCAACACCACGGGTGGTGTAGACATGCTCCTACTGCATCAAGACAGATGCCTCTGCAGCTTGGATCGCCAGTTTCAAACACAAGATGGTATTTTCTGATTAAACCAAAAGATTATTTACTTGGACTTCACAGCCTTTCACGAATACTGTGTATTTCACATCATCAAAGTGAGCAACCTACATTTTTAAAAGAGATACATGCAATTTTACATGCTCGCTCTTTCACTCTTCATTTATTTCACAAATATTTATTGGTCATTTGCTTTAAGCTATACTCTTGCTTAATGAAAGGAATGGGGTCAAGGGCAACTATTATAAACTCTGTCCGAAGGAGTTCTACCTTGCTTTTGTTTCTGAGTCTTGAGATCTTTGGATTCATTTAATCTCTGTGAGTCTTCTCTGCATAGTGAGAATATTGGTAAATATCTCATGGTGTTTTCAGGAGTTTATTTTATATTATTCTCTGATTTTTATATTTTTTCAGAGATGGGGTCTCACACTGTTGCCCGGGCTGGTCTCGAACTTCTCAGCCTCCCAGGTAGCTGGGATTACAGGTGCAATACAGCCACTGCATCCGGTCTGTTTTTAGAAAACTTTGAGATTATGTTAAATACAACACCTAGCACACAGTTGGTGCCCTTAATCCACCTCCCAGCAACAAACTTTAAGATCTGAAAAGCCCACATCCCTATTAACTGGGGCACTTCCAGTTGAATATTGAAATTCTGTGAGTTCCTGTAAGACTCATGATATACGTTGTACCCTACAAAAGGCCTCAGAAGGGAAAATCCGCTTAGCTAACCAGTGAGGGGGGAAATGGGTCACCAGCTAAGCTGATTACACTCCAGGCTTTCCATCCAAGCCAGATATATTTGCAGGAGTTTCCAAACAGTCTAACTCTAAAAGCTGGCCGGATCACTCAGTTTATCTCAAGGTAAAAATCCAAAACAAAGAGAGAGCTACGGCACAATGTTTGTGGTACATACGGTGACATGCTGCCTAGATCCCCCTTCAAGGGATGAGTGAATGCTCAGCTGCAAGGAGTGCTTGCATGAGGTCATGTCCTTCCCCAGGCAGCCACAGCCCACATTCAGTGACTGAGGGCGGTGAGAGCCTGGCCAGTTTGCCCTGACAGGACACAACTCTGATGAGCAATTATCACTCCAGGGTCCCCTACCAGGTTTGCTAAGACTTTGTCAGGCTTGTTTCATGAAAATATGTGATTTAATTCATGGCTATCACAAGCCACTAGTGGATTCCTTTCTCTCCTCTTACCCCAAGGGATAAAGATCTTAAGAGTCCTCCATTTCCCACAATTTCCTCTCTGTCCATCTCATGCCAGTTTTTTCAAATGAATTCAGCACCATCCAACTTTCCAGAAGTTTTCAGAAAACTCGTGAAGCACACCCACTGACATACTATCTTTAAAATCATCTAGGCCGCTTCTCTACTGCCCCCCACTCGTCTCCTGACCCCCTCACTCTCTGGTTTCCTTATTTGGCATATGAGCACAGGAAGTAGCTCTCTTGGAAACTGAGGCAGGAGACGAGGACAATTAAATTTAGCTTGGATGATGTTATTTGTGTTAAGCAACCTGTGGTTAAGTGTAGTCCCTAAACTCGAGACCCTAACAACAATGGCAAGAGGGTCTGGGAATATTACAGCCTCCTGCAGGATGCTTTTCAGAACTAGGCTCTCAAAGTTCTCTATAGAAACAGAGTCATGAGGGAGGAATTACTCTGTGCCTGTGAAATGGTTAGATGTAAATATTTGTGGAGAGGCAGCTCCCTGGCTTGTCTGAATAGAATTGGTTTTTTTTTTAGACAAAGTCTCACTCTGTTGCCCAGGCTGGAGTGCAGTGACACAATCTTGGCTCACTGCAACCTCCACTTCCCAGATTCAGGCAATTCTCCTGCCTCAGCCTCCTGAGTAGCTGGGATTACAGGCGTGTGCCACCATGCCCAGCTAATTTTTGTATTTTTAGTAGCGATGAGGTTTCATCATGTCGGTCAGGCTGGTCTCGAACTCCTGACCTCGTGATCCACCCGCCTTGGCCTCCCAAAGTGCTGGGATTACAGGCATGAGCCACCATGCCCTGCCATCTGAATAGAATCTTAATAAGAGAATGTTCTATCTATTTAATTGGAAAATGCCACCCACCTTCCCAATAGTAGTAAAACACTGGGATACCTCAGACAGAGAACTGGACATTATATCAGGGGGCAGACACTCTGTATCCCCTTTCTCTAAAGCTAGGACTCTTTCCTACCCCCATCCTTTGCTGCCAGCATGTCTGAGATGCTGCCTTGACTACCCACACTCTCGGGTATGCCTGTGGCAGGCACACAAAAGATGACCTTTCCAAGCCTCCCTGACATAGGTGGACCATGAGACTCTCAATCTGGCTGATAAAATGTTATAAGAAATGAGGTTTGAAAAGTCCTAACATGATCTTCCCATTTCTCTTTTTCCTTGTCATGGCAACCACTGACATTCCAATTGGTGGATCCTTCCCAGCTGTGTCCTTGAGTAAATAAGTGAAGCAGAACCCTCCTTCCATCTACATTTCCCAGAATTGAGTACAGTTTGTGAAACAGGAACACATTTTACTCTGTTAAACCATAAAAATTTGGGAATGGTTGCCTTAGCACAAGTCTAACCTCTCCTAACTACAATGCCCTTGTAAATAAATATGCTCAGGTACTTTTGTTTTTGTTTTTGCTAGATTATATGATAATTAAGTCAAAAATTCCCAGCTCTTGTCCTCTAGACAAACTGCTCACTGAATCCCTTGATTGATAGTCTAGGTTTGATAGCCCACATCCACTTTCCAGAGTACAATTTCTGAATTTGCCTTTTGGTACCCAGCAACTTCAGTGGGCAAGTGATGTTGGACATATTCTCTGCCTAATCATGAACAATATAACCATGTTGCGGTCATAAAAAGACATCATGCAGGTACTATAATTCCAACCAACCTCCAAAGCAGGCTTCCAGGGCCAGCCATGCTGCAAGCTCACAATGGCCCAAATTGGTCTTCAGCATTGGAAGGCCAGAAATTCTTTCGCCAGGACACTCAGAGGGCATTCGGTTTTCAGGGACTAACTCATACTGATCAGACTCACATACTAAAAGACTAATGTAAGCCAGACATCATTTTATTTTTTTCAATAGGAATTTGTTTCTCCCAGTGACTTGAATATTCATGAGCACAATCCAGTATGATTCTTCCCTACAAGAGCAAACCAGGGAAGACAGGATACACAAAGGAAGATTGACAGATGAGTGTTGGGAGGCTTATTATCTTGGAGGCTATATTAGTCTGTTTTCACACTGATGATAAAGACATACCCAAGACTAAGTAATTTGTACAGAAAAAGAGGTTTAGTGGACTCACAGTTCCACATGGCTGGGAAGACCTCATAATCATGGCAGAAGGCAAGGAAGAGCAGAGGCATGTCTTACATGGTGGCAGGCAAAAGCACTTGTGCAGGGGTACTCAAATTTATAAAACCATCAGATCTTGTGAGACTTATTCATTACTATGAGAACAGTATAGGGGAAACTGCCTCCATGATTCAATGATCTCCACCTGGCCCTGCCCTTGATTCCTGGGAATTATTACGATTCAAGGTGAGATTTGGGTGAGGATACTGTCAAACCTTATCAGAGCCCTTTCCATCTAGACCATGAAAGTAGATCCTAATGAATCATTGGATCATTGGCAAGATTGAATTCTCTCTCTCTCTCTCTCTTTCTCTCTCTGTTAAGATAAGATAAATACTATAAATTTCTTGCTTTTAAGTTTTGATTTTTCTCCAGACATTTAGCCAATAAAACTGGCTAACTGTTAGTTGTCTTTAGGTCAATAATTGTCCCATCATGATCGCTTCATACAATTATGTAAAGGCAACATCTTGATCACTTCAACAGATGACTGCTTTTATCTACTATGTTTACATTTGTCCTAATTTTGGGGTTGTCTATCACTCTCATTTATCAAACAGTAAGAATTGAGTCTTGGGTCTCCAAAAACTCACCAGAAATACCTTTCTAAATCTTCATAAGGGGTAAGCAAACTACAGCCTGAGGGCCAAATCCAGCCTGTCACCTGTTTTTGTAAAAGGTGTCTTATTGGAAGACATCCATACCCACTAACTTACATATTGTCTATGGCTCCTTTTGCATCTCATCAGCAGAGTTGAGTAGTAGCAACCGAGCCTAAAATATTTATTATTTGACTCCTTTTATTTTCAGGAGAAAAATTTGCTGGCTTTTGATGTACAAGGTGTCTTTGTCATCTTTCAACAAAACAGCCTCTCTTACCAATGTCTGTAGTCTGCAAGTTACAGTCAGGTGCGCCCTCCAGGTGGTGGCAGAAGATATCCAAGGAAATTCCATGCTTATGTGCATGGCTGCGCTCGTGGTTCTGATCCCAGGTTTCAGTGATTTTAAGAAGTCAATTTCTACAGTGAACCTGCCGTGGACCATACTGCAGGGATCGATAACTGAACAAAGACCCTCAGCCTGATGAGAAAGTTGTCAAAGAACTGGATTCCGAAAGAGAATTCATCACTTCCTGGTCTAAATCAGTCAAGTCTTCAGTCCTCATCTGTAAAATCAAACAACCCAGCCTCCATAGTGGGTTTCCATGAGTATCAAATGTGAGAAACCTGGGTGAGGATGTGGTAAGGTCTTCTGCAAATGTGAGCGGGAGTATGGTAACTTCCGAAAGCGCTGCGTCACACTGGCTTTTATCTAGTAGATCACATGACATAATACTTGCAAATGTTTGGAGTCTTTTGCATAATACTAGCAAAATAATTTTTTTTGATAGCTTGCTGTCCCAAAATTTCTTCAGCTATTACCCAAAGGACTTGGCACAGGTATCCCGGATGCTCCTCATGACAGAGGTCAGCTCTGTAAACAAGGAACCACTTGAACCTCCTGCTGGGAACATTTGCTTTCTCCAGTGCACAGAGACAACATCTCAGTGGTTTCCCGGCTGTAAGAAAAACTGAGCAGGAATTTTCCTTTGAAATAACTTGATGAGCAACCAGGAAGCCTCTGAGACACCCTCAAGAACCCAGAGAGGTTTTGGTAAGAATCACAAAGGCTCCTGTACAGGGGCAGAGGTGAAGGTGCCAGACAGCACTTGGTGTGATGAGGTCAGTTGGGTCCCTCCAGTCTGATATTCTGAAATCAAATGAACAGTGTTCTCTTGGGCATCATCTCAAACTCTAGCATTTATCGAAAAACCAAATGATTGTCTCTAGGCAGAATAGCTCCTAGAGAATAAATATTAGAATTCAGTGAGGGCACAGTGGGTTATGAGTGTGGTGTGTGTGTTAGTGTGGATGGGTAGCTACCAGTATGGCTAATACATAGAGAGACGGTGTGCGTGAGTGCCTATGAATTAGCATAAAATGTAATCAAGGTACAGTATACGAGGGTGGTGAGGACTTTTAACTGTGGATCCCAACTGTGTGGTCCCAATCTCAGAGCCACCTAAATTTGCCTAGCTGGGTAATCCTGGGAAATGCAGATTGGATCACTGTTCAGCACATATTTCCTCCTCCACCATCACCTCCATGGAAGAAGGGTCCATACTTGCCCCATTAAAGTTGGATTTGGCCATGAGACTTGCTTTGGCAGATAAAATATGGACAGAAGTGGCAGTATGCCAATTCTGAACTAAGAACTTAACAGGCGTTGCATGAAAAATCATTCCTCTATTGTCATTCAACCTCACCATGAGAGAAACCTGCCCCAGGTACCCACTGCTACTCTCCAGCTCAGGCTCCAAATGAAACACACAGAGCAGAGCCATCCTAATCAACCCACAGACCTGTGAGAGTGCAAGTAAGTGTTCACTGCTGTATATCACTGAGGTTTTGCTTTCATTTGTTATGCAGCAAAAACTGACTGATACAGGCAAGTTTCTTAACCTCCCACCCAAGGGAAATAGAGAGAATAGTGGTGCCTGCTGCAAATGATTGTTGTAAGAATTTAGCACTTAGAACACTTTCTGGCATGCAGTAAGTGCTTAGCAAGTGTTAGTGGTTGTTGCAGTAGCTTCTGCTGCTGCTGTTATGTCTAAGTGACTGAGTAAGCAGGTACCCAAGCAGGTAAGAGTGGGTGATCATGTACTCAAGTGTCAGAGTTAAAGAAGGAGAGCGGATGGAGCAGGTGTGTGAGTGGTGGAGGCACATCCCTCAGCAGAAGTACTCATTGATTCTCCTGCCCCCTTTGACTCCAAAGGCTTGAAAGTCCACACTGGAACGAGCTGAGAGAAGCCTGTCAGCCTCACTGAGGCTGTGCCGGGACAGCTCCTCTGAGCCATCCTCACTATGGCCCAGTCTCTCCAGGTTGATGTAGGTAACTGTGGCCTCAGTGGAGTCCCTGGTGCGGCACTTGCGGCAGCGCCTCTGAAGAGCACCACAGCAGACAAGCAGTGTGAGAGGCAGGGCAATGACAGCGGCCACACTAATCACCACCACATTGATGAGCTGCTGGGTGTTCTCCGCATCCACCACTTCATTGGTGGAGAAGATAACACACTGCTCCTTCCGGGGCACCAGGCCCTGCACGCAGACACAGGCCACATACTTGGTCTTGGGCAACAGCCCAGTGATGGTCACTCTGGTCTCCCCAGGCTGCACAATCACCCGCCGCATGCTGTGCTGCCCAAAGACAGCATAGAGGACATTGAAGGCAGTTGTGTTCTTAGCCTGGGGCGCCTTCCACACCAAGGACACACTGTGGTAAGTGTCCCCCACTACCTTCACAGATCTCACCATTTGTGCCTCTGAGGGTCCCACCCGCCCATCAGAGAGCTCTCCCAGGACATCCATCTGGAAGTGCTGGAGGGTAAGTTCCTCCTTTGTGCTGGGCACAGAGGGTCCAGTGGCCAGGACAGCAGGTTTGGGAATCTGGGGGACATGCCTGGCCACAAGCTTGTTGTTGTAAGCAGCGGCTTCCCCCGCTCCACCTGTCCTTGCCCATAGTGCCCCTGGGCTCCCACTGTGTTCTGTGTAAGTCTGTGGTTCAGTGACGATCAGGGAGATAACAGTCTCAGAGGCTCCCAGAAAGTTCTTGGCTTGGCAGATGTAGTCTCCGGAGTCAAGATGGGACACTGCAGGCAGGCCCAGTAGAGTCCAGCTCATGCCATCACTGGATACTTCCTGGTGCACTAGGAGGAAAACAGGCATAAGTGAGAGAATGAATGGACCCGTTTGCCCCAAGCTGCCGTTCAGGGCCAAGTTCACAGCTCCTAGGTGGTGTACACTCAAGTGTCGTCCTGAGAAAACACTGGCAGTCATTCAACTTTTCTTAGACTAGCCAAGGGGATCAATATTACCCTGGGCTCAAATGTGGGGAGCCTCTGGAGTCCCAGGTTGTGGCAGAGCCTAAGAATGATGCCTTCTAAATCTGACAAGTTCACACTATGGGTTTTTTGTTTGCTTTATTCAGATAGTGTCTTGCTCCATTGCTCCAGGCTGGAGTGCAGTGGTGTGATTATGGCTCACTCCAGCCTGTAACTCCCAGGCTCAAGTGATCTTCCCACCTCAGCTTGCCACCATGTCCAGCATTTTGTTTTTTGCCACAAGGTCTCACTATGGTGCCCAGGCTGATAACTCCTAGACTCCAGCGATCCTCCTGCCTCAGCCTCCCAAGTGCTGGGATTATAGGCATGAGCCACCATGCCCATGAGTCAACCTACCCTGTTCTTAAGGGCACTGGAATTTTACAAAGGTAAACAGACAGATTTTACTGGAACCCCGGCTCCTCCTTGTACAAGCTGTGTGATGTAGCATTTAGCCTCTCAGAGCCTCGGTTTTCTTATAGGCAAAATAAGGAAATGCTCTTTGGAGTTCAATGTTATTATGTGCGTAACACACTTAGCATTGTCCTAGACCCACATAAAGAGCTCAGTAGATGGCAGCTCACATCGTTAATTACTCCAGGTAATTCCGGTTTAATATTTACAACTGGGAAACTTATAAATATTAATACAGTAAAGGAGAGACTTCCACCAAAAAGTCAGCTTTTTGTTCTCTTAAGGTGGGCCCCGAGTCTCTACGGAGTGGCTGGTGGGATATGATAGGACAGGTCAAGAGCCGTTGTCATTACTGAATCTATTGTCACCATGACTTGCCTCTGGGAAGCCCTTGTCAAACTCAACGCAGGCAGATGGAAGCCCAGCCTTGCTTAGACAACTTCCCTCTGGCCCTGCCAACTCCCCATTTGGTGCATTTGTCCTCCCCAGTCTGGGGTCTCAGTGCAGCCTCCCTGTAGCTACATACCTGTACCATTAAGGGGCTTGCCATTGGCCCTCCTCCAACTCATCTCTGGCCCAGGGACTCCAGTAGCTCCACAGCGTAGCAATGCTGTGCCACCCAAAGGGGACCTGATGCTGGCCACTCCTGGATGGAGCTCTGGGCCCTGGCACTTTCTCAGTTCAAGCTGGCTGAAGGCCACTCTGGCCAGGCTGCGTGGGCTGGCACATCTCAATTCAGTCTCAATGAAGGCCAAGTTTGGGGCCCAGCCATCCAAAAGATGGACCAGGTCATAGAGTTGGCAGTCACATACCCAGGGGTTGTCCTGTAGCCCTGCAGAGGTAAAATAGAAGATTAGATATACAGATAGATTTTCAAGATCCTCAGGCCCAGCACCCCTTCCCCTCTGGGAGGACAGGCAGGTCCTCATTCAGAGTCAGCAGAACTGGCCTCTGGGCCCAGATCCTTGCCTTGCTAGTTGTATGACCTGAAATTTGATTCTTTGTGTTAAATGATAGCATTACTTTCTTTTCAGGGTTGCTTTAAACATAAACAAAAATAAATCATATTAAGTACTGGGTAGCTATATAGCATGCTGACAAAACTGGGAATTACCCTTGCCATTCTTGGACTGATTCTTTCAGGCCACTGGCCAGGCAGTATTTCCACAATAATCACAATATGACAAAATCCATTTCTAGACATGTATCATTGACCCCTGATCCTTGATGCCAGTTCTCCCAGTATAAATAGTATTTTCAGCATCATCCCAGCAATGAAGGTGTCTGCTCTGATCCACAGTTTCTTTGACATAGGCTCAAATGGGCATAAACAGCAGGGTGAAAGGGCCAGAAAATCAAATCCTAGGATCTATCCCCTACTGTCTTTACTCTAAAACTGAACATTCTTATAGAGTTGAAAGCAGGTACCCACTCTGTCAAAGAACATTACAGAGATAGTGGGGTACCTTGTGCATATAAATGAGGGGTATCATGTGTCCTCAATTCTAAGGCACAATTTCTTCTTATGGGGTTGCATTACTCAAAGGCAAGATAAATGCACTTGATATGATGTCCTTTTAGTCCCCAAAGACTTATTGGATAGTTTTTCTAATAATCAATGATGACTTACACATTCATATAGATATATTTAATACATTTGGAAAGAGGGTGTCAAAGGGTTGGGGTGGGTGCATTCAGATGTGACTGTATATTCATGTCTCTCAGTTCTCTTTGAGCACGACCCACGGGTGCCAGTTCCTTTTCCCACCTCCCCCTCACCCCATCTCACCAGTGGTTGCTGCCTTACATTGCTGGTTAAATGCACTTAGTGATACATCTGCAATCCACGATTCATCAATGCCTGTCTCCAGTGGTGAGCTACCTGGCTTTTGCTTTATTACAATAGGGCCAGAAAGACTGAATGTAAAGGCAAAGTTAAACAACAGTGAGGCTTTCACTTCCCAGACTGGCAAAAGTTAAACATTTTGGCCATTTTAGTTGTTAGCTCCATGAGTGAATAGATTGTCATCTCTTTTGTTCTCTGCTGTATTCCCCACACCTAGAATTGGAAGGCATTCAAAAATACGGAGTCTCCCTCATTGCCCAGGCTGGAGTGCAGTGAGCGATCTCAGCTCACTGCAACCTCCACCTTCTAGGTTCAAGCAATTCTTCTGCCTCAGCCTCCCAAGTAACTGGGATTACAGGTGCCCATCACCACATCTGGGTAATTTTTGTATTTTTAGTAGGGACAGGGTTTCGCCATATTGACTAGACTGATCTCTAACTCTTGACCTCAAGCGATCCACCTGCCTCGGCCTACAAAAGTGCTGGGACTACAGGCGTGAGCCACTGTACTGGCTCAGATTGATTTTTAAATGTCTAAATGCACACTCTGTGACCTAATAATTCCACATCTCAGTTCCTATCCTAGAGAAACATTTATGTGTACAACAATGTGTTGCCAAGAATGTTCTCTGTTGCATCATAGGTGTTAACAAAATAATAGAAACAATATAAAAGTCCATTAAAGGGGGAATGACTAAATAAACTATAGTATAATTATGTTTATAACATCGTGCAGACATAGTATATTATAGAATATTGTGCAGTAGTTTTAAAAATGAACTTGACCTATTTGTAATAATTTAGAAATATCTACAAGATACAATGTTGGGTCAAAAAGTTAGTATTGCTTAGTATGTAATATGACAAAATTTTATGTGAAACACACACATAACTTTTCTGCATGCATGTAGGTATGTCTATACATATATACATATGCATATCAAATGTATCTGAACAGATAAGGAGCTTGAATATAAATGTGATAATAGTAACTACTTTTGAGAAGGGGTTGGAATAGGGAGAGAGGACAAAAGGGTCTTTAGCCTCTTCTGCGATATTTTAAACATTTGTATTTATTCATGTATGAGTTGTAGAATTCAGATCAATTTTCCAGAATGAATTATGCTCCTTCTGCCATTCTGAGGGCCAGGCAGGTGCCTTGGGCAGGAAAGGAGATCTAGTTCCCATGGTAAGCCGTTGGTTTGTTAGGAACAGGAAGGAACCGAAGAAATAGCAGGTCCAGCTGGTGGAGTGTACTAACCCATTCAGCTCTGAGTTGGGAAATTGAGTCTCAGGGGCCTTCTCCTGGTTGTGTGACCTGGAAAGACCTCTCTTATGACTGGGATTTGAACTGCCACAGTCTGGCTTGGCGCTTGGGCTCATAAACCCGCTGCTCTTGTGGATCTCATTGTTTTTGCTTAAACCTGGAAGGCAGGTATCATTTCAATTGGCCGGGCGCGGTGGCTCAAGCCTGTAATCCCAGCACTTTGGGAGGTCGAGGCGGGTGGATCACGAGGTCAAGAGATCGAGACCATCCTGGTCAACATGGTGAAACCCCGTCTCTACTAAAAATACAAAAAATTAGCTGGGCATGGTGGCGCGTGCCTGTAATCCCAGCTACTCAGGAGGCTGAGGCAGAAGAATTGCCTGAACCCAGGAGGCGGAGGTTGCGGTGAGCCGAGATTGCGCCATTGCACTCCAGCCTGGGTAACAAGAGCGAAACTCCATCTCAAAAAAAAAAAATTTCCAAATAAAGAATTGGAAGAGAAGTGTAACTTGCCTAAGACCCCAGGTGAAGGATGCCGCCTCTTACCTAGGACCAGCCTGGGGTGGTGGCCGGGAGGGAAGAGACCGGCCTTCAGGTGAGCCCAGGAGGCGATCAGCTCCTGCGGGAGCCTCAGCAGCTGGTTGCTGGAGAGGTCGAGGAAGGTGAGGTTCTCCAGAAAGCGCGCGGCCTCAGGGGGCACAGCCGAGAGGCGATTGGCCTGCAGGTCCAGCAGCCGCAGCTGGGGGGCGTCCCTGAGCGCGGCCCAGGGGAAGGCAGCCAGGCGGTTCCCGGGCAGCCGCAGCTCCCGCAGGCGTCGCAGGCCCCGCAGCATGAGGGCGTTGAGCTCGCTGAGGGCGTTGTAGGGCAGCCACAGCTGCTCCAGGCGGCCCAGGGGCCTGAAGGCCTCGCCAGGCACCCTGCGTATGGCCGTCCGCTCCAGGCGCAGTCTGGAGGTGTCTGGGGGGATGGACGCCGGGGGCAGGGTCATGTCGGGGTCGTTGCACACCACCGTCCTGTCGCAGAAATGGGGGATAGTTGAGCAAGGATCCTGCTGGGTCTGGAATCTCCCACCGCTACCTCCCTCTGCGAGGCCCCTGGTTCTGCTTGTATCACAAGACACCCACACCAGAGTCCAAGCTATGGCGGGGACCTGGAGAGGGGCCCAGAGCAAGCAGCCTCACTTTTCCCTTTGCAGAGGTTTGCCTTCAGAGCCTCTCACAAGGGTTCCAGAAAGGCCATCTGGTCTTCACTGTCCTGCAGGACCTCACCCTTACACTTTTATGGCCCATAACAGCCTGCCGCGCCCGCAGTACACTAAGAATGAACCGTTTAATAAACCCCGTAATGACTTTGTGCACTGTTGCTTTGCAAATATGTGTTAAAAGTGTGACCGGGAGTGGTGGCACACGTCTGTCATCCCAGCACTTTGGGAGGCCAGGCGGATAGATCACTTGAGGCCAGGAGTACAAGACCAACCTGGCCAACATGTCGAAACCTCCTCGCTACTAAAAATGCAAAAATTAGCTGGGCGTGGTTGCATGCCTGTAATCCCAGGCGGGAGAATCGCTTGAACCCGGGAGGTGGAGGTTGCCATAAGCCGAGTTCACCCCACTGCACTCCAGCCTGGTCAATAGAGCAAGACTCCGTCTCAAAAAAAAAAAAAAAGTGTTTGTTTGTTAAATTATACCTCAATTTTTGTAACTGTTTTGGTTAATCATTCCACAAAAAATATACCAAGGATGTCAAAGTGAAAGTGCCTCAAATCTCTCCCAATTCTGAGGGATCAGGTAATGATCAAGGTGTTTAAGAGCCAGGACTTGGCAGCCCCACGGCTGGATTCACACCTGGGCTCTTTACTTGCTGGCTGTGAGTCCTTGAGTACATTACGTAACCTCTATTTTCCTCAGTTTTGCCATCAAATAGACTTCACAAGGTGGTTTTGGGGTTTAAATGAGATAATGCATGTAGAAGCCCAGCACGCTGCCTGCCACCCTGCATTAACCCAAGGGTACGGATCACTGTCATAAATGTTTGCATCTCAGCACTGACAGTAGATCGGGTCAGTCTTATCAGCTCTTCTACACAAACCACAACTTCTTAAACCTTATTCTATTAAGTTTGAGACTAAAGCAGAGGATAGAGAGAGAACAGGAGGCAGTCCTTGCCCTCCAGGAGCCTACATTTCAGCGCTATGTTTTATACTACATAAACTGAAAACAAAATCCTAAGCCCCCCCAACCACGGAACAGACCCATCTAAGGGAGGCTGTAATAGCATAACATACTGGTCATATCAGTCTTTCCCGGAAGTTCACACAAATCATCAGCATCCCTTGGCGTAACTCATATACTCCACTTAAGGCAGCTGGACTGGGCTTGTTTTTTCTTGTAAACAGTGTCCACAAACAGTACAGATATTCTTCCTCCTTTCGAGCAAATATACATGGAACTCCTACTAAGTGATAGGCAATTCAGAAGAGAATCAACCTCGTAGCCCCTGTCCCCATACAGTGTATAATCTAGCTCAGGAAGAAAGCATTTTCAGCAATAATACTTCCAGATAATAAAATAGGTTTGGCGAAGTGTGATGGCTCATGCCTATAGTCTCAGCCACTCAGAAGAATAAGTTGGGAGGGTAGCTTGAGCCCAGGAGTTGGAAGCTGCATTGAGCTATGATCGTGCCACTGCACTCCAGCCTGGGTGACAGAGCAAGACTCTGTCTCAAAAAAATAATACATGTTTGGGTATTGCAAGGAGGAAGGGCTGGACGTAGGTGAGAGAAAGGTGACTGGAAAAAAACTTATCTTGGATGGGGGAGAAAATGGTCAAAAGGGGAATTAAAGGAAACCCTAAGAACCCAAAGCCTGCATCATAGCTCAAACCTACAGCACAACTCCTGGTGGGGTAAAACCAGGGGCAAACTGGGACAAACAGCATGGGCACAAATCCATTCAGGTGCACAGCCCAGGTCCTCCCAGGCAACCCTAGTGCCCACAGGTACACACTTCACAATACAGCAGCTCAGATGTAAAGGCTAAGTTCTCCGAGAGGCCCAGATTAGAGAGGGATCTGAGGAAGGCTTCTGAGATGCAGAAGGAGCTTCAGTCTAACTGCATAGTCTGTGCCCAGAGCCACAGGGGACCTCAGGGCCTGCTACAGCCTTTGTGGCCTCATAGGACTCTCCATGCAGAGGGGCTGGTGCATATTAGCCAGGGGATGGTCAGGCAGGTAGAACCAACACCTCTGGCTTCAGAAGAGGGAATGCCCACTGACTTACATTAGCGGCCCTCGAAACTCATTTTCCATCTTCAGGCTAGCTCTGCTGCCTGTAATTCATCCCTGGTCCCTGCCCATAGTGGCATCACCAGATAAAGTTTCTGAAAACTGAACTGGAATGCCTGGGTTCCAGGACTGGTTTCATCAATGATGCTGTGTGGATTTCAGCTCTATGCTTTCTATGGGCAGTGGGGAGGGTTTTTGTCACTCCAGTGACACTGTCCTTGGCCATGGGATATTTCCAGCCTGTTCAGGGCTCAGCCTGGCTTCTCGTGGGGAGAGGATCCCTACCCTCCATATGAGTTGATGCATTGGACACTTGGGCTACAGTGGAGCTCATTCTGTTTCTCAAGTCATGCAGGGTGTCTTTTCTTGGTGGTTCTTCTTCATTTCTCTGCCTTCTCTTATCCCCCAATCCACTTGACATTCATTCCCAAGATTATTAAAGGGGTAGCTCCAATAACATTGCTTCCAGGATCAGAAGCCATAAGTGGCTCAGAGACCATGCAGTGGTCGCTAATGGGTAAGCTGAAGGAGTTGGAGGAAAGATGGGCTAAAGATTGCTAAAAAAAAGAAGAAAATGAGCAGTGGTGGAAGAGCAAGGGCCCACAAGCCATTATGGTATGGAAATGTCCCGTGGAAGGAGAGGAGGAGAGGATGGAGGTGCTCTGAGGGATCAGGCAGAGGATGGGGAAAATCAAGGGAAAGGCTGAGGATGGAAGGAAGCATGCTTCTCGTGGGATGAGTACTCCTGGCTTTTCAGAGTACCCATAAAAGGGATTGAGGCCAAGGCTTCCGGGATCTCTTCTTCTCTGGGATCAGAGAAGATCCAAGATCCAAAGGAGGAAGAATGAGAGGCAGTGGTCACATCGTGGGTGGGGTTGTAGGAAATCCCTGGGATATGACTGGGCATTGTAGAGAGGTCAGGCAAGAGAGTGCAAGAGGCCTGGGAAAGAAGGAGCTGGGGAAATATAGAAAAGAAGAGGGAATAGAAAAAAGCAAGGAGAAGAAAAGAAAGCAGTAAGGGAGGAGACTTCCAGAGCCTTTAAGGAGGGCTCTTCTCCACCAGGAGCCTGGAGGAGATTCAGGAAGGGCTTTCTAAAACTGGCACACTTGTGCCTCACCCTTGGGCCAATATGCAAAGGCACCTGGTACCTCTCGGACAGAGGCATCCCCTTGCTTGCTGGAAAATAATGCAGCACAGACCACCCTATAGAATCCCTGGGCCTCAAGGGTCAGGGGAGATGAAGATCTTGGTCTCAGGGCCCTGGCTCCAACTCCTCCCAACCCAGCCTAGCTGGCAGAGCAGTGGAGGCTGGGCTGTCCATCCCACGCACCCGATACCATACCTGGCCTTGCTGCCATCACCCAGGATGTGGAAGCTGCAGCTGCACTGAGAGGGGCAGGAGCCCCGGGCCTGGGGAGGCCACCCGAGGGCCAAGAGCCAGAGCATGCTCACTGCCACCCTCATGGCTCCTGGCTCCTCTCTGGCCCAGGCAGTGGCCTGTCCCTTGACCGCTCAGTCCCACCGGCCCAGCAAGCCCAGCAGCTGCCCACTTGCTCGCCAGCCCCTTACTCCCCCTTCTGAGGCCATCGGATAAACACGGACAGGCTGGGGATTAGGGAGGGGAGTCCCAGCCGCAGCACTCAGCGGCTTATTGCTGTCTGAATCACTCAGTCCTGAGGGTGGGGGTGGGGGACCCCCTTCTGTAGCAACAGCCACAGGCCCAGAGAGGCCTGGGCACAGCACAGCAAGACAAGTAGGCAGCTTCCCAGAGGCAAGCAGCCATGGGACTGTCATCTGCAAAGCACCTCATCCCAACCAGGCCGCAGACAACACAGACTCCACTGGAGTGCCAGCGAAGATGAAGACAGAACCCCAGTTTCTAATAAGGCCCTTTGGAAATTCTCTCCCGTGACATTGTCTCATAGCAAAACAAGCAGTGAAATGAAGCAACTCTTCCTGAAGGTGTAAAAGGCATTAGAAGGAGCCCAAGCTCCAGACCCAGGCTTCCTGGGTTCAAATCCCAGCTATTTCATTAATTGGCGGTGACCTTGGGTGAGTTACATTATCTCTTGGCCTCTGTGTCCTTATCTGACAAAGAGAAATAAAGTTATTTCACACCGGGTGTTTATGAAAATTAAACTCAAATACCAAAGCCTTGACAGCTGGTGAGAACGGAAGCTCTCTCACAGGGTGTGAGTACCAGTTTCACTGCTACTTACAAGTCCCTGGTTACACAGGAACTGGACAGATTCAAGACATTTTGAGGAGACATCAGAGGTGTCTCTCATGAGCCCACAAACTGTCCCAGGATGCCAGGCAAAAAGCTGCCTGCCTTGAGTGCCCCATGGATATGGGACTCAGAGCATTGCTATTTCAGCTGAGCCCTTCCGGGAATTACTACAAATGCCAAAGGTGGGGATGGCTCGACAATGAGGGACAAGGACACCCCTCTCCTCAAGGAATCATACTCCAAGAAAGGCCCCAAAGGAGTAGCTCAAAGAGTTCTTAGAGAAGGCACTTTCAGGTTTTATTTTGGAGACAAAACTCTAGTCTCTAATAAGGGCCTTTGGAAGTTCTCCATCCCTAAAGCTTTGTTTTGCTTTATCCCTCTATCCCAAACCATCCATAAAGCTTCGCTTTGCTTTGCAGCGACAGGGTTTGCTCTGTCACTCTGACTGGAGTGCAGTGGTGTAATCATAGCTCACTGAAGCCTCAGACTCCTGGGCTCAAGTCATCCTCCTGCCTCAGCCTCCCGAGTAGCTGGAACTACAGGCAAGCACCACCATGTTTGGCTATTTTTAAAAAATTATTTTTTGTAGAGACCGGGTCTTGGTATGTTGCCCAGGCCGGTCTCAAACTTCTGGCCTCAAGCGATTCTCCTGCCTCAGTCTCCCAAAGTGCTGGGATTACAGGCCTGAGCCACTGCACCCAGCTCAATTTCAATTTTTACCTACTATCTCCTAATCCTATCTTGCCCTACCATATCTACTCAGTAGGCCAGTGGGGACTGACCAGGGATGATTCTCAGTAGTAGACACTCAGCCGACTCACTCATTCATTCCTCACATTTGACCCCAAGGCGTTGTTCTCCGGTCCAACATGTCCTACCTAAGTTCTTTGGCTTTTCTAGAAGGTTCCCCAGTCCCTTAGGACTGTGGGTCCAGCCAGGCTTAGACCAGTGAGTTATGGCCGGCAAAGATATCTGGGGCCCCAGTGCACACATATCTGCCTAACTCTGGGCCAGTTCTGTTTTGACAATACTGGCTTCTCATTCCGTCCTTCCTTCCAATGCAGCCAATAGGGTTTTCTCAGCACTTCCCAGTTATACTTCCTCCTCCCCAAACCCAGCCACCAGCTTGCCTGCTCCCACATCTCTTTTTCTTTCTCCTTCTATCTTTTGCCTAAATGAACTTTACCCTTTAATCTTGGCCTTGCCCTCCTTTTTCTTTTCATGAAGCATTTTGGGATCTTGAAGGCATGAAAACAGGACAGACACAGGTAATAACCAACATCCTAAGGTAGAAATTGAGAAAGAACAGAGGAAGCTCTGGAGGGTGCAATCATAAGCTCGGCCCTGAGGAGGGATCTGGCTTGGAGATAAGTGAGGACCCATGAGAGGAAAGGCCTGGGAAGTGGATGTTGATGGAACAGAATGGGTTGCTCTACCGGAGTGCATCAGAAGATGCAATTGAAAAGTGCCTGAGCCCGAGGAATAGGAGATCCAGCTTTTGTTTCAGCTCCAACTATAAATTACTACATGGCCTCAGGATGATTCTTAACAGCTTTCAGCAACAGTTTCCTCATCTGAAATGGAAAGGATAATGGTATCTAATTCATGGAGTTGTTTGTAGGACTCATCAGAAGATCCCTTAGCACAGTGCCTGACCTCATTCAATATTAGCTATGTTGCCAACAGTGCCCTGGGGCTTGGTTTCTTTATCTGAAAATGAGTTAAGGTGCCCTAGATTAGTGTTTCCTGGTGCAAATTTTACCATGAGCCAGCACATAACAGTGCATAAAGAGCCAGTGTACCAAGAAGTCATTTGTAGCAACCTAAGCTGTTAGTGAGGAGGGGAGCGGGTGCAGGGAGGAACTGACAAGATAGCAGCCTCTCTGTTCTAAGACAGTGTCCTAGGAGATGTTTTATGCTTGTAGGGCTCAAGTGCTTTATGAGAGACAGGAAGTGTAGCCCTAAGGTTTATATTCACGATGTCTAACCAGGACTTACACAGACGCCAGGGACAAAAGACACTGACATTGCAGAAAAGTAAACAGAAGAGTCCAGTGGTTCCACTCCAGGGCATATAACTAGTTAGGGGCCGATTTGGAACCAGAACCCCATTCTCTGGTCCCAGTGGGGTTCTTCCTCTGACAGCAGGTAACTTCCCAAACCTCATCCTTTCCCCAGCGCTCTGGAGCACACACATGTGAGCCTGAGGACACACACGCACAGACACCGGGCTTGTCAGGAACAGCTGCGGCTCAAATTCCTCCGCTTGCTCCCCTCCCCTGGTTATGCAACTCTTTTCCAATTAGGCTTTCAGCCACACACAACATTTGGATTCCCTGACCTTAATCCTGTGCAATGGGGCTGAAATGAATGAGACAGGGCTCCATTCTGGCTTTCCAAAGGCTACATTGTCCAACTCGTGAATGAGTTCCTTCTGCTTGGGCCAAGAGGAGGAGGGAGGCATCCAGAAAAAGCCCAAGGTTCAGTATAATAACCTGCATGTGCCTGCACACATGTGGGATGGCCCTTTAAAAGGGAGGGCCTGGATGTGGGAAGCCAGAGACAGCTGGGTCACTGACGGAGGGAGAGCAAGAATGGCAGAGTCCAGCACCCTGCCCACTGGCTTCGGGGAGCTCGAGGTGCTGGCTGTGGGGATGGTGCTGCTGGTGGAAGGTGAGCCAGGCAGAACCTGGGGTACAGCAGGGCCCCAGTGGGTACTGAGGACCCAGGCTACCAATGTGGAGCTAGCAAGGAGAAGAGAGGTCCCCAAAGCCAGCTGGGTGTCAGGTCCCTTTGGCTGCCTCCCCTCTGTGCCTGGACTCAGGGGTTGTTCTGACAGCTGAACCTGTGGGAGCAGAGAATAAGCCAGGCAAGGGCCAGGGAGGGAGAGACTTTAAGAGGGGACATCTGCCCAGGAGATGATCAAGAGCCAGGCTTTAGGACTTTTCATGTCCCTCCAGCCGGGAGAAAATTTAATCCACTGTTTGGAAATCCTGCTAAGAATCCCACATAAGATCAGTCCCCCAAAAAGCTCTGGGGACAGACAGCTCTGCCACCTGCTCTCGTGTGACTGTAACCAAGTCCCTTCAGCTCTCTGCCCTCAATGCCTTGACATTCCGAATGGGTGATTGTAAAGACTAAATGGGATAAAGGGCATCAAGTGCTAGCCTAAATAGACTCCAGAGTATTTAAGTTCATTCACTCCCATCCTCTCCAGCCTCACCACTATTTTCACTGTGTCTACTCCCAAGAGCCTAAGCACTTCCCACTGGAGGCTACCTGGGTCCGCCAGGTACCTACCCCAACCCAAAATCCCTAAGATGCTTGCTGAGGCCGGAGCTAGAGACAGTGTCAATCCTGATCTGCGCCAGCCCAAGCAAGGTTGATGGAGAATGCAGCTTTGGTTCAAAGCAGACCCAGAGAAAACATCAGCACATTTTCTCACCTAATGAGAACTGACAATGGAGAGGAAGTGACAGTCACTGTATTGGTCCTGAAGGCCCTGGACACAACTGTCTGGTGGCCCCAGCCCATGTCTCCCTTTCCTGAAGACCCTATAATCTAGCATCCCTCCAGGTCCTCAAACATGCCTTAAAAGTTTACCACTTTATTTTCTGGAAGGTATTTAAATTTACGTTTTTATTTCATGCTTGATGATTAGAAATATCATGATACATGCAATGCTTTGGTTTTTATTTTATTTTAAAAAATTTTAATAGCCTTGGGAGTACAAGTGCTTTTTGATTACATAGATGCATTACATCGTGGCAAATTCTGAGATTTCAGTGCACCCATCAACCCATATTAGGTTGTACCTAATATGTAGGTTTTTAAAATTCTACCCCCTCTTCCACTCTTTCCCTTCTGAGTCTCCAGAGTCAATTACGCCACTCTGTATACCTGTGCATACTCATGGTTTAGCTCCCACTTGTAAGTGAGAACAAATGGTATTTGGTTTTCCATTCCTGAGTTACTTCCCTTAAAATAATGGCCTCCAGCTCCATCCAAGTCACTGCATAAGATATTATTTCATCCTTTTTAAGGCTGAGTATTATTCCATGATGTATATATACCACATTTTCTTTATCCACTAATGGGTCAGTGGGCACTTACACTGATTCTGTATTTTTGCAATTCTGATTGTGCCGAAATAAACATAGATGTGGATGTGTCTTTTTGGTTGAATTAAATGGCGGATCTACTTTTAGTTATTTAAGGACTCTTTATACTCTTTTCCATAGAGGTTGTACTAATTTACATTCCCACCAGCAGTGTACAAGCATTCCCCTTTTACCACATCCATGCCCTTGATCTATTGTTTTTTGACTTTTTAATGATGACCATTCTTGTAGGAGTAAGGTTGTATATCTC